GAACACTCTGTTAAGAATGAGAAGTGGCTGTTTTATCTAATGCTCAGAAACGAACACACAGAAAAATTTTTTTTAAAAATGAAGAAAAAGAGAAATATGTTCCAAACAAAATAATAATATAAAAGTCTAGAAATGGATCTTAATGAAATGTAGATGAATGATGTGATGGATAAAGACTTCAAAATAATGATCGTAAAGATACACACTGAGGTCAGGAAAAAAATCCATTAAAAAATCAATAATTTTTAAAAAGACAAAATATAATGAAGTACCAGACAATAATTGCAGAACTGAAAAATACAATAACTGAACTGAGAATTTCAATAGAGGGGTTAAACATTAGACTAGATCCCATTTGCAACAGCATCAAAAACAATAAAATACTTAGGAATAAATTTAACCAAGGAATTGAAAGATCTCTACACAGAAAACTAGAAGACACTAATGAAAGAAATCAATGAAGACACAAATAAATGGAAAGGTTTCTCATGTTCATGCATTGGAAGAATTAATATTGTTAAAATGCCCATAGTACCCCAATCCATCTATAGACTCAATGCAATACCTATCAAGATTCCAGTGGCATTTTTTTTCACAGAAACACAGAAAAAAATCCTAAAATGTATATGGAACCACAAAGGATCCCAAATAGCCCAAGCAATCCTGAGAAAGAACAAAGCAGGAGGAACCACACTTCTTGATTTCAAGCTACATCTTAAAGCTGCAGTAAATAAAAACAATATGGTACTGATATAAAAACAGACACATCGAGTGATGGAACACAAACAAGAGTCCAGAAAAAAACTACACCAAACATGCACATACAGACAACTAATATCTGACAAGGGAGCCAACAATACCCAATGGAGAAAAGACAGTCTCTTTAATAAAGGTTGTTGGGAAAATGGGATATTTACATGTAAAAGAATGAAACTAGACCCCTTACACAACTAACAAAAATTAACTCGAAATGGAGTAAAAATTTAAATGTAAGACCAGAAATTATTAAACTCTTAGCAGAAAACAGGACAAATCTCCTTGACATGGGTCTTGGCAATGATATTTTTGATATGGCACCTAAAACACATGCAACAATATGAAAAATAAAGTGGGACTACCTCAAACTAAAAAGCTTCTGCACAACAAAGGAAATGATCAACAAAATAAAAATAAAACCTATCGAATGGGAAAAATATTTGTAAATCATATACTTGATAAGGGGTTAAGAAACTTATGTAACTCAGTAGCAAGAAAAAAAAATCTGATTAAAAAATGGGCAGAGGATCTTAATAGACATTTTTCCAAAGAAGATATTCAAATGGCCAATAAGTACATGAAAAGATCCTCATCACTCATCATTAGGGAAATGCAAATCAAAACCACAATGAAATTATCACCTCGTGTAAAATTAAATGGTGATCATCAAAAAGACAAGAGATAACAAATACTGGCAAGGATGTGACTGTTGGTGGAATTGTAAATTGGTATAGCCGCTATGGAAACCAGTATAGAGGTTGCTCAAAAAATTACAAACAGAACTCCCATGTGATCCAGCAATTCTGTCTCTGGGAATATATCTGAAAGAAACGAATACACTATAACAAAGAGATCTGTACTCCCATGTTCACAGCATCATTATTTAAAATAGTCAAGACATGGAAACAACTGAAGTATCCAATTACTGGACAAAAAAGTTATGATACACACACACACACGTGGAAGGGAGTTTGTATATATATATATATGTGTGTATATATATGTGTATATATATATATATATAAAGGAAGGGAGTCTGTGTGTGTGTGTGTGTGTGTGTGTGTGTGTGTATATAATGGAATATTATAGCCATAAAAAAGAAGGAAATTCTGCCATTTTCAATAATATGAATGGACGTAGAGGGTATTATGCTAACTGAAATAAGTCACACAGAGAAAGACAAATACTGTATGATCTCACTTATATGTGGCATCTAAAACAAAGAAAACAAAACAAAAAAACAAACAAATATTAAACCCAAACTCACAGAAAAAGAGATCAGATTTGTGGTTACCAGAGGCAGGGATTGGAGGGTGGGGGAACTGGATGAAAGTGCTCAAATAGACAAACTTCCTGTTATAAGGCAAGTGAGCACTGGGGGTGTAATGTACAACATGATGACTGTAGTTAACACTGCTGTGTGATATATCTGAAAGTTAAGAGATGAGATCCTGAGTTCTCTCATCACAAGGAAATACACATTGATTTTCTTTTTTCTTTTTTTAATCTATATGAAATGATGTATGTTAACTAAAATTGTCATTTCACAATATATGTAGGTTAAGTTACTATGCTATACACCTTAAACCTATACAGTGCTGTATGTCAATTATATCTTCATAAAACCGGGGGGAATTAGAGTACACTCCTAGTGCTGAAAAGAGAAATATACCATTAATAAATCCAAATTTGATACTTTTCTATTCTACATAAGAAAGATAGCATGTTTAATTTAAAGCAGGCAATCTTCAATCCAATATAAATAAGAATCCAGAGAAGGAAAAGCTTGAGGAACTAGAATTTTCAAAGTAATTATTCTACAACCTTGGAGAAAACACTATTTGAAGAGCACAAATAAATTCATCAATTCTAAAACATAAGCATTTCTGCTATAATATGTATCCATTCCTTTAAAATGTCCTTTTAGGCAAAATCAAGCATCAGAAATAACTAGGTTTAGGAAGAATATATTGTAGAGGTAAACCACTCAAAAAACTATGCAACTTTGTAACCTGTCCTAACAAAAACAGTCAGTCTTAATAAGTCTTAGCACAGCTAAATTCCCACTAGTATTTTCACCCAGCACCACAACCAATTTTAGGTTTAAATGCTGAAGCTCACCTTCCTCCTTTGACATGTAGCTCCCTGGGGGCATGAATTCTCAATGGTGATATTTCATTACAAATTAAAATCTGATACATGTATTTAGAAATACTTGCAGCTTCTCCATCGGCACTTGAGACTTCACTGTATACATTAGTGTTATAGAAAGGATGAAGATTCTTGACAGCATTAAATCATTCAAGACTGGCTCCAAAAGGAAGGATTTTTAGTTGTTTTGCCTTCAGATTTAATTTATTGCTAAGGTCTTCTCTTTAGTAGTGATAAAACTTCCCGATTGTTTCAAAAGCCACTAAACTGGTGTTGAGTGTAAAGTCTGAATTTTGCTTACATCTTTTCTTTATTTACCAATCCTCTGTGAACGAGCTTGTGATACACAAACTGTTATGTGTTCTGTTGTAGCAGAAAGACATATTCGAATTTAAAGTCTTAATGCTACTCCCCAAATATTAGTTTTTATTATACCTTTGCAGTCTGTTTTCTAAAAAAAATACACATACAGATAATATGTATTTATATATAACACACATTACAAGCACCTTCAAAACAGATCTGAATGTTGTTTTACCTTATTTCCCAGTTATATAAATTTTCAAATACTATTTTTAGATAGTAGAATGTTAAGAAAGTATATAAATAACCTAAAACTATTAAACTTTAATTCTCCTAGAAATATCTATATTGTAAACTAATGTTTAAAATCCTATATACATTAAAAACATATTAGAAATGTTTCACAAGAAAGTACTTTATTATGAAAAGAAAGATTTCCATAAATATATGTATACTTCTCAGGTAAACATTATATATGATTTTTCTTTTTGAATGCAGGGCACAGCAACACATTTTGTAGACTCTTTGAAGGAGAAACTCCTGTTTTCACACTCTGATCCTCATATTCTGCAATCCTGCTGGTTCAAACAGAGAAGAGTCAAGCAGTTAAGCAGAGTTTCACATGAAGACTAGTTTATAGATTTTCATAAATGCATGTTGACGTTAAGGAAGAAACATATATGATATGAATACTCCCTGCCTCACTCACATTTCTTTCTGCCATATATGGCTGTGAATAGGGTAATGTCTGCCCTTACACAGAGAGTCACTGACTAATGTGAATAGCAGAGGAGAAATTTGTCAGTTGTTCCTTCTCTCAAGAGAATAAAAACCGTGTAGAGAAGTTATTGTTTTATCACAATCTGATTTTTATTACAATATTTGGAAAATTGCTATATAATTTGGATGGACGTACACAGAAAGATACATGAAGTAATTATAACAAAAACTTTTTATTGACACACATTTAAGCTTAAGAAAAATTCCACAAATGGTTGACACATTTTCTACATCCAAATTTGAATATTTCTTCACTTGAAATAATTATTCTTAATCACATAATGAAATATAAAGGCACAAAAATGGATATCAAGTCAGGTTTCAGGTAGTCTTCATCAATAAAATTCAAGTCAAGGTAAAAATGGAGAGGTATAATGGATCATACTGAATTTTATGTCTACTAAAATTAAAGAACCATGGAAAATATGTATTTCAAACTGGCCAATTGACCATGAAAATTTTCTAAGAAAATCTCTCCATGATCAAATAAAGATAAGGAAAATGTTAATTTTTAAAAGTTTAAGGTAGTTTTCTTTTGGAGAATAAATATAACCTTAATTTAAATTTTTATTATATAAACTGGACTGGAAAATTTTATTTTATTTTGAGAAATTATTAAGAAATAAACATCACAATGCAAATGAAAAGCAAAGAAATAAAACATCTGAAACCTAAGTAATTCAGTATAACCAAAAGCCAATAACTAATACATAAAACATCATTGCAATCAGAATTAACTTGAGCATTTTCCTACTTCCACTTCATCTTTTTCTCCAAAGTATTATCACTCTATTGAAAGTATTAATTGTGTATATTAGAATATCCTTTAAAAATTCAAAACACAAAGACTGTGTTATTATATTTGTACTAAAAATATAATAAAACATAGGATCATAGAATCACATTCCTTTATTAAACATGTAATCATATTATAATTATTTTAAAATTTATTAATATAATATTCCACTAATGGACTAACAATGTATAATTCTTACACAATGGTGATCCAGTTATAAAACAGTTCTTTTCTTTTCTTTTTGTTTTAATTTTGGATTCTTCATGGCTACAGAGAAGGTATCACTATTTTCCTTTACTAAATATTTGGATAGGCTAAATGCAACAGCAGTGACGATGATTGTGAATAACTTGGAAAAAAAACCTAAATTAAAAAAAAATACAATCATCAGATGTGTCAATTTATTTGAAGCAAAAATGTGTCTGGAAAGAATGTCATTCACCAGAGAAAAGGTAAGTATATTTTATCTCTAAAGGCATCGCTTTCCCCAATTGTAGAATGTAATTAATGTCATAAACATATCAAGTTATTTAAAGGAGATTTTTGAAATGTTTAGAAAACCTTTTAGATTTCTTATGCATGGAGCCCAAGGAAAATGCAAGATTTGCTATTATTTCACAGAATGTATTAATTCAAAAACAGAAAAATGCATTTCTACTTTCAAAACTTAACTATCAATGAGAACTGGCACCTGTTTAAATCACTGCATACAGCTTTACTCGTCTGGAAATACTCATCCTTTTCCAAATACAAACAAATATTTTAGAAATGTTAACTGATTGTGTAGGGTTTTAAAATTCATTTTCAGATGTCAAGTTCCAGAAAGTTAATATATAGTCAAGTATTATTTAGAAGTACTTGAACTTGTTATCTCTCCTTTGCTTATTACTTGTTTCTGGGAGTTCTTTATATATTTTGGACATTAATTCTTTTTCACCTTCTTTACTTTTTTCACTGTCTTCCTCACCACAGCTCTCTTTTCTATCTCTTAATTATTTCTTTTGATCAAGATTTCTTAGTTTTAATATGGTCTGATTTTTCTTTTATAGCTAGTGCTTTTCATACCCCATTTATGAAATCTCTTCCTACTTTAAGGCCATGGAGATAGTCTCCTATTTTTCTCAAAAGGCTTTATTGTTATATCATTTACATTTAGATCTACAATGAATTTCGAATTGATTTTTGTATATGATTTGAGGTAGGGATCAAGATACATTTTTTTAGATATGCATATATAAAATGAGCCATTACCCTTTATTTAAAGATTATCTCATCATTGTAGTGTCTCCTTTCTGATTTGCCATAAATTAGTTGTGTGTGCAAATATGGGTTTGTTTCTGGACTCTCTATTCTGTTCTATTGGTCAATGTGATGACACTTGCATCAGTACCCTACTGTATTAATTATTATAGCTTGATAATAGGTTTTGATATCTGATAGTATATAGCCTTCAATTTTGTTTCGTCTTCAAGATTCTCTTGATAATTCTTGGCTCTTTGGCTTTCATATGAATTCCAATTCCCTTATCAATTAAAAAAAATACCTTATGGGATTTTGTTTGTGATCACTCAATGCTATAATTTAGGAAGAGTAGCATGTCCAAATCTTCCTATCTGTTAACATATACATTTTTTCACTTATTTACATTTTAATGTCTCTTAAATAAAATTTGTAATTATCAGTATAGAGGTTTTCTACCATTTTCAATAGATGTTTTTTCTTGGTACTTCATTTTTTAGGTTACTGTATTTACTGAATTATTTTTGTATTTGGTTGTGCCTGGTATGTAGAAACACAACTGATATTTGTATATTGATTGTATATTAAGAAACCTTACTAAATTCACTTATTAATTCTAATATATTGTATTTCTTGATATGAATGCTAATTAAGGTATGTTCATTTTCTAAAAATGTGTTGAGTTATATATTTATAATATGTGCTCTTTACTGAATATATATATACAGTATACATATATAAAATATACATTTCAATAAAAATTCTACCAAAAAACTAAACAAATCTGATGAAGTGTTGAACATGGAGAAATAGGAAATATTTGCAAAAGACTTATATATCATCTCTCTAGCGCAATTAAAGAAAGAGCTGATGGAATCTTCATTTGAAGTAAAAAGTATGTAATGAGTTAGAAGAATTTTCTTGCTGCCAAAGAGAACTGATGGATTAATATAATAAAAATTTTACCAACTTTTTGAGTGATAAAACATTTGAGATGATGAATGTCACAGCCTTCCTTTGCAGGGGAAAATTTGGGGGGAATAAAATGTAAAAACAGAATTTTAGAATTTCAAAAATATACTAAATTTCAGTGTGGGCTCCTAGGATTCATTGATCCCTTTTGAATATGCTTTGCTCTGTAGCAGTAGTGTGCCTAGAACTTCTTGTGACAATGGCAGTGTTCTACATCTGTAATGGCCAATAGAGCAGTCAAATGTGACCTTTAAGCACATGAAATTTAGCTATTGTTACTGTGAAACTGAATTTTTAATTGCATTTAATTCTATTTTATTTAAATTTAGCTGTATGTGGTTAAGATGTACCATACTGTACAGTGTAGCTCTAGAATCTCTTACTTGTCTTCCAAATTTACTGTGGTTAAAATCACCTGAGGTGCTTTATTAAAAATGCACATGTCTACCTCTAATCCCTACTTCTAAATCTAATTCAGGGTCTCAGAACTTATATTTTTAGCAAGCATTCCAAGTTTTTCTGATTCAAAGACTCATGGAATACCCTTTAAAATGTTCTAGTTTACACAAAATTGCCACAAATGTGTATTCCTGTTACAGTTTCCTGTGTTTTCCTTCTCTTCCTGTAATTTCCTGTGTTCTTTATTATTGTTATCTCCTTTTAGTAGCTCCTCAGCAGGATCTCTAGTAGTTTATCAACTTTCTCAATTATGTACTGTGTTTGAAAATAGTTAAGCATGTTACAGTTTTATCTAAAATGAAAATTAAAAGGCTTGGCAGTATTTTAAGAGGACTTCCTTAATAGTTTTGTTGAATTATCTCTGAAAAATTTATTTTGACTTCTTAAATGTCACTTTTGACTTTTTGATATTTTCCTTAAATTTTACTTTATTCAGGTTAAGTGTTGATTAAATTTGCTGGATAATTAATTTCTGAATTAGAAGGCATTGCTGTATACTGTTTATCAAACAGGTACTTGTTACTGTTAAATATTATAGCCTATCATTATGTGGTTCTTTGAATTACTGAACCCACTTAGTAAAATCACAAAACATATAAGCACTTTAAAATATTTATCACACCAATAGCATCTATACAATAAAATCATTCAATATTAATGATGATTAAGACCTCAGAAATTATGTAATCCAAATCATCCGTTTAGAGACAAATACACTAGAACAATGGAAGACCTAGTGAATTTTCCAAAGTAATACAAACAAACCTAGACTTTCCCAACATTTCGACCATAGCTCACACCACCATAGCATCTCAATTCCCCATATCTATTATTTTCAATAAATACTGAATGCTTGCTTTGTGCCAAGCACTGTTATATCATTGAGCATGAGACAATATGAAATTTACATTTAAGTGGGGTAAGAGTATGTTGATACTCTTGAGTGGTGCAAATAAGTATTTTTAATCATCCAATCTTTTACTGTGGAAATGGAAAGTCACAAGGTCAAACAAGTTGGTTGTACATACAGGCAAAATTACTTCCCAAATTGAAATTCTGATAATTATCACCCTTTACTCAGGAATAACATAAAACAATTGTGTATTTAACATAGTGACTCAAATATTTACATAAATTCTATAGTACTTTAGTTTCCAAAATATTTCCTATATGATAATATAAGGCTTCTTTAATCATCAAAGTATCCATTTGTTCATTGTTTATTACTGTGCTAGAAATAACCATAAGGTTTTAAAACAATTTTACCTCTCTACATTTCTTCAATTGATATCACTTACATATTCCTAGAAACAGGTAGGACATTTTTGTTGCATTATAGAGCCGACAATTTCTTTTGTGTCCACAGCGTCCACCATCCCAATATGTACAAGAACTTTCAACTGCCATTTTAAAAACTATCGGGCCAGGTATACTCCCTATAAAAAATGCAGTAATTGTAAATTCTCCATGGAAACACTATAGGTTGGTATCAGAATAATTTTTATCCTAAAATTAAACATATATATTTAGTTATCATCACTGTAAACATATCATTTTAAGTTATCTAAGAACTGGCCCTGGCTGGGAAACTCACTTGGTTAGAGCCTCATCCCGATACTCCAAGGTTGTGGGCATGATCTCTGGCCAGGACACATACAAGAAACAACCAATAAATGCATAAATAAGTGGAAGAACAAATCAATGTCTCCATCTCTCTCCTCTCTCTCTCCCTCTCTTTCTCTAAAATCAATACATAAAAATTTTTTAAATAAAATAGTCTAAGAATTTACTTATAGATAGTATTGTTAATAACTACAAACAATGTGTTTTTGAAAATTCATTATTCCTCTAAGTATAAAAAATTGGTAGATTTGCATCTTTTCAGAATGGGGTGCATATTGTTATTTAGTTGACATCTCAAAACTATTGTTAATTTTTGAATGAAAATTTTAAGAGAAAGTATTTCAAACAGAGATACTAATTATTGATTTTTAAGAACCGCTATCCAACACCAGATATCCCTAGCTCAGTGAGTGCTGACACTCTGTTTATAGTGGCTCAAGGTGAAAAATCCTAGGCCTACTACGCATTTTTTCTATTTCCCATGATATTTTCCAATCCAAGATAAATCTTTCACACTAACTCCAAACATATATTGGATGTGTTGATTTCTCTCTGTCTCTAATACAACCCCCAGAATCCAATTTAATGCAACTATGACTTAGATTTTAGTAAAAGCTTTCCTCCACATTATAGTCTATTAAGTACTTCTCCCTCCAGCACCAGAGTTATCTTTTAAATGTAAATCAGATATAGTGGTCCCTTGGTTTTCAAATATGCTCTGTTCCCAAAGACTGTTCAAGTTCTGAAACGTTGGAAAACCGAGGGATCAACAGCTGACAGCTGGGCCCCAGGATCTTGCCCTCAGCAGAAGCCACGTGGCAGGTCCGACTCCCGAGGTGTGTTGGAAACCCAAAGCATTTGCTCCCAAGTTTACAGCGTTCGTAACCCAAAAAGCTCATCATCAGAGATGTTTGAAAACTGAGGTACCACTGTAATATATATCCTCTGCTTAAAATTCTTGAAGGCAAAGCCCTGTCTAGAGACGGTCTGTATTTAAAATTTCTTTTTTTACTTGCTCCCATTCAAAAATGCATCAGTTTCACAGGGTTCCTTTCTGTTGTGGAAAACTGTCTACACAGTTGCTGTTTGTTATGTTCCCTCTTCCATCACAAATCTGTCCTTATCTAGTGGATCGTTGTTCACCAAAAAAAAATCCTCTATTTTTTCCCAATTAAAGCTAATTTTAACTCTGCCTACTGATGTAGCTATAGAATGATTTCTCTGATCTACGTCAGAGCCACACTTAAATTTTTCTACATTCTTGACTCCATTTATCATGTCTTTCAGTCTTCAATCCAGTCCAATCCTGTTTCCTTACCCCACCAATGTTTTCAATCAACTTCTTGAATCCGGGGTCCTAATATAGTTATAATGTGGATTTGAAAGTTAGCTTTTGCTAATTTAAAAAAGCCTGGAGTACAGAGTGCATTACCCTCAGCAAAACAAATTTGTTCTTTGGATAGAAATCCTTAAAAACACTGCATTCAGTGACTTTGGTAATGAAATGTTTAAAAGCACTAGTCTAGGTTACTGACTTCCCAAATATGAAGCAATGTATAATTGCTATGCTAATGTTTTATTTCAGCTTACCAAACCACTTGTATGAACTTGATGAACACACTTCAGATCAAAGAGATTATCTCTTCTAATTGAATATAATGTCAATGTATATTTTATTTGACAGGATGGGCTTTACATTAGGTATTATCTTTTTACATTAACTGTTGTCTCCTACATTCTACAAATCAGGTCTCTCATTCATTTGTTTTGTTTCAGTTTACCATTGTTACTTATTTGAAATTATAAATGTACATGTAAACACATACATACATCAAAATATGAACATTTCAATGCAATAAAAATTGCTAAAAGTCCATACCAAATATTCTCAAAATCACAAAGGTTATACCCAAGGCCAGAGAACGTTGTTTGTCAGGTACAATCCTGCAAGCAAATAGCAACGATATAATTAAAACATCATTATTATTAGCTATAGAGAGTGTTTTCTAGGTATGAGGTTAATTTTTTTCCTGTGCATAAATTAGATTAAGAATCTTTGTCCAGTGAATAGAGTTTAATCTGCTTGAATTAAAGAACTACAGCTCCTCCCATTTCTCCACATCCTGCCCCTTGCCCACCAATTCCAAAGTAAAGTTCTTTATAAGTAAGAAGCAGTTATTGCCCAAACCCTCTGCCCCAGCCTCCTAAAAAAAAAAATCATAGCACTAGCTTTCCCACTTCCGTTTCATCATTCTGTGGTACGTACCCATTGTTTTAGAGTCCTCTTTTTGCCCTGTGAGATCCACTCTCTGCCTTTCCCTACCTTCCTCTACCTTCTGTCTGCCCTGGGAGACTGACCTAAATGGACTACATCAATAGGCTCTCTTGTCTTTTGGTTTCTGATTGGGTTCTGCCAATGGGACACTCCAGAGTGAGGAAGGAAGATGAGGTCAAGATGTTCATTCCCAGGCTCCATCCCTGCAGTTACTTCGGATTGACTGGGTCCCTAGCAATGAAGTCCCCCCCATATAGGTCTCCCTCTTTCCTTGCCATTTCCCTTTTGGCCTGGCTGGAGTGGAAACAGACCAGAGGTACTGTATTATACCTTGGGATTCCTTAAACCCTGCCCATCTTTTAAATGGCCACCTTCAACCTTACTTGGGTAATCCTAATTTAAGGGTGTCATCTACTTCCTATTGGACCTCTCACTGTTACACTCACTAGTCAAGAACTAAAATAAATGAAAAATAACTTTCCCAAACAAAAGCAATGAAGATCTCGGTAGTTCCCACTGATCAAACTATTTTTTAAAAAAGAAAAATAATGCATAATATTACATATTGTAGTTTAAACACTAAATGGAAAATACAATAAAAATAGTCAACATTTCAGAAAGTAAAAAAATAAGAACTACATTTTTAAAAATATGTTTTTATTTCAGAGAGAAGAAGGGAGAGGGAGAGAGAGAGAAACATCAACAATAAGGGAGAGTCATTGATAGGCTGCTTCCTGCACATCCCCTACTGGGGATCAACCCGGGGACATGTGCTCTGACCAGGAATCAAACCATGACTTGGTTCACAAGTTGATGCTCAACCACTGAACCACACTGGCCAGGCAAGAACTGCATTTTATATTGCTATCTTAAATAAACTCTAGGCTCACCCTTTGTTTACTTGTTCTAGAACTTGAACAACAAGCTAGCATGACCAATATTTTCATCCAAAATTACTCAATTTACTCAATTTATTAAAATGTACCATACATACAACATTTTGTTACTATTTTGCAAAAAGTAAGATAATTCCACCTACATCAACCTGGAAAATATGTATATATTCTTTCCTCAAATGTTTACTACTAGTAAAATAAAAATAAACCAATTCTCAAATGATAATTTTTAAATAAAAAAATTTATAATTTTATTATGAGCAGATTCATTAAAGAGAGGTAAAAGAAGTAAAGTTTCACATTTTAGAACCAAACTTTAGTATAAAGTTTTTGGTATAAAGTAGAAATGGTCATATGCATAACTATAATTGAGTGTTCTGCTTCACTTAGCATAAGTAGTTTTTTATATATATATGATATTGGAGCTCTCTGAAGCACCTATACAGCAGACCATAACTCTTAAGTATAATCGTTAAGAAGTGTTTATGTATCTTTGGTTTGATTATAACCCTCTTTCTAACTGATGATATACAAAACAAGATGAAATTATTAATGATTCCCAGGATTCTCCCAAATCAGTTAAATGAATACACAATAATAAATAATGGATATGTATATGAAAAAAACCCCAAAATTTTAATGAAAAACAACTATGTTTTAATAACAAAGTGAATGCTTTTCACTATTCTAACAAGTAAGTTTATGATGGGATGATTTAAGAATTTCAAGGAGTAAACAAAAATTTTGTTAGTACTCTCCCAAAACGTAAAAAGCAGTTCCTACTGTCTCTTACAACTTCTAAATTTACATTTTGAGTCCATATCTTTCATATAAGACATCAGTTGTAGAGTTAAGTTCCTTCCTTGCCCCAGAGGTGTTCTTCCCTAGTGCTCCCTATCACAAGAAGTGGAACCATCATCCACACAGTTTTCCAGCCCAAAACCTGGAAAGAGGCATCCTTGACACCATCCTTTTCCCCTTTCACTGCAATCAATAATCAGATATTTAAAAACAATTTTTTTTTCATATTTCTTTCTCTGATATCTACATCTCTAATTCCACCAGCTTATTCCAAGCCTATATCTTTTGCCTTAAAAAAATACAATAAAACGATTTCCTAATTTACCTTTTATACCTCCCAGCATCCTTACCTTTTCATTGCACTTTCCATATAGAGGCACAGTAAAATTTTTAAAGGTGAAACTCTGATTATTTTACCGCTATTGTTCTTAGGATAAAATCTAGCATTACAAAAAAATTTTACAAGGGTCATCTAATTTCATCAGTTTCATTCCATGACACCTCACAACTTTTGCCTTTATAACCCTCCTTGTTCATGACATGCAAAAATAAAAGTTGACTTTTATTTTTCAGTTGGTTGAGCATCGTCCTGTGCACCAAAATGTTGTCAGTCCGACTCCTGGTCAGGGCACATGCCTGGCTTTCAGGTTTGATCCCCAGTTGGTGCATATATGGAAGGCAACCAATTGATGTTTCTCTCTCACATCAATGTATCTCTCTCCCTCCCTTCCTCCCTCCCTCCCTTCCTCCCTCCCTTCTTCTCTAGGCATGGCCTTGGGTGAGGATTGAAAAATAATAATAAAAAAAATCTATTTTATTTAAATGGGAATGTATCCTAAGAATCTCAAAAAACCAATCATAAAGAATATATGCACCCCTATGTTCATAGCAGTATTTACAATAACCAAGATCTGGAAACAGCCCAAGTGCCCAATGAGCAGATGAGTGGATAAAAAAGCTGTGGTACATTTATACTAGGGGTAGGGAATGTCTGGTACTGCCAAGGCAACTGCAGGTGGGACTCAAAATTCAATGAACCAAGGAGCTTTTTTCATAGCTAATTTTTAAGTTAATAATTTTGTATGGCCCTCGAATGATGTTATAAATATCCAAATGGCCCTTGGCAGGAAAAAGGTTCCCCACCCCTGATTGATACAATGGAATACTATGTGGCTGTCAAAAAGAAGGAACTCTACCCTTTGCGACAGCATGGATGGACCTGGAGGGTATTATGCTAAGTGAAATAAGCCAGTCAGAGAAAGACAAATACCATATGATCTCACTAATATGTGGAATGGACAAAATGCACTGACAAACAAAATGGAACCAGAAGCATGGGTACATGGAACAAACTGATGGGTGCCAGAGGAGATGGGGTGGGGTAACTAGATAAAGAAAGTGAGGGATTAGCAAAAGAACATATATACATACCCCATGGACAAAGACAATAGTGTGGCGAAGGCCAAGGGAGGTGGANGGCAACAACACTGTATTACTAATAAAAAGGTTTTATAAAGCTTCAGAATCTTTGCTTATGTTTTCCTCCACTGTGTGAAATACTCATCCCCCATTCTTTAGGGCTCAATGTGTCCTTTCTTCAGGATATCCTCTCTGAATTCCCAGCTAAGTTAAATCATTCTATAATTTTCTCATTGTATTTTTCTGTATTTTCTTTGCAGTGTGTTGTAATATTACAATTAAATACTTATTAATGAAACTACATTTTTTTTGTTGGTGCTGTCTCTCATGCCACCCTCAAACATCCATCAAGGCAGTAGGAACCTGGTCACTTTTATTACATTTTTTCCCCCTTAAAAGTGCTCATCCATCTTCTTGTTTGAATCCATGGGGACTATCACAGTTGAAAAGACACAAACGTGTTAAAATAATGAAGGATGGAAGGAAAGAATGGAAGAACATTTTTCCTAATAATCACATTGATGAAGAGATACAGATAAATCATGATCCTTTTCTGTTTAGACTTAAGCCTCACACAGCTTCATGTATTTCAGAAAATTTCTCCAGAGGAAAAAGAATGTTGTCATTCTTAGCTTCATGTGATCAGCAAAAACTCTGCCAGTTTGTTTGTCCCCCAGTAGAGACCTTCTACCTGAACCTTGCAGGACATTTGGTCCTGTCCACATTGTCCATAATCATATTTGGTCCACACCAAATGGTCTTTGATATTTGGTCCTGCCAAAAACATCCATGCTTAGAAAATATACCTGTGTTCAACAGCCCATAATGTTTCTACTTTTGCTCTACAGGATTTATACATTAAAATACTATCATGTTTTTTGCTCTAATAACTGCATTATGACTATATTTCCAATAATCACTGTTCTTGCCTTGGCAGCCTAGGGTGAGGTAGATGGATCTGGTTTCGAATCTTGCAGAAGAGCAGGGTTTATACTACCTATGAACCAAATATCTCCATGGATGTTTTGGACAGGACCAAATAGCCAGGACCTTATGGTGTAGACCAACTGTCTCTGTGGGCATTTAGCAAGACCAAATATCTAATAATTGGACCTAGTTCAGACTGTCAGCATCTACCCCTCATTAAGAACTGGCAAGAATTTCAGGGACAGCTTTAGATCCCAATTTACCTCTAAAAGCTTCCACTCTCTCTGGGATTTTAATCCCTCTACTCCTCTGCTTTCTGCCTTAAACATATGATTTTTATCATTTAACCCAGCTTTTCTAATTATCCTCTGTAGGAGCATTGGCCTGTTACTAATTACTCCATCCTACCTCACATCCATAACTTTAATTACCACTTATTTGATAATGATTTTACATGTCTTTAGCTTTGACTTTCCTTGTACTTTTTAAAAAAATCAAAGTTTATTTGTTAAATTTGTAGTATAATTGCATGCTTTGGAAAGCAAAGTAATATAAAGAGAACATGCTGGAAAGATTTGTTTAAACCCCTGCCCTCATCTACCCTCATTTCTACCCCACCCCTTTAGGTTACCTTTAGGTTACCATTTTAATTATTTTCTTGTTTATACTTACATTATTACAGGGATTATAAAAGACAGAGTCAAGAAAAAACAAATACAATATACATAGTCCTACAGAATATTCAGGTACTAGATATCTGAGAGATATTTTAAATTTGGGAGATTAATGTCCAAGAAAACACATGATAGAGAATATTATCATAGAACTAGAATCTACTAAAAATAAAATGAAATTCTATAACTGAAAAGTACACCAATTAAGAACTCAATAGGTGATTTTAATAAGTAATTAGATACAGAGAAGACAGAACTAGTAAACTAGAGTATAAGTAACTGGAAAAGCAGGCGAAGATTCGATTAACACGATAAATAAAGCAACCTCAGTCTGAAGCACAGAGAACAATAAGAAATGAAAACAGAAAGAGAAAGAGCCTAACAGACACATGGACACAATAAAAGATTTATGATATGTATATTTGCTATCCCAAATGAGAGTAGAGAAAGAATGGAGCAGAAGCAATATTTACAGAAAGAATAGTTAAGAATTTTCCCAAACCAGTGAAAGATATGGTCGTAGATAATCACCCAAGATGTCTGTAATTAATTCCTTTGTTCCCCCTATACATGCACATTGCTCCTTACATGAAGACGTGGAATCTAATCACCCTCCTCTTAAAACATAATGACCTTTTTTAACAAATAGAGTGCAGAAAAGTGACATTCTTGGACTTCCAGCCTAGGTTAAATGAAGCTTTACAGCTTATGCCTTGTAGCTTATGCCTGAGTCTTTTGGAACACTAATACTTGAGCTGTACCCTTTTGAAATTGTTAGCCTTTGTTAGCTGAATTACAAGTCACAGAAAGAGGCCACTTATGGCCAATCAATAGCCCCAACTAGTCTACCAGCAAAAATGTGCCTAAATTATCAGCCATCTTGGAAATCCAGCCCAGCCATACTGTCAGATGACCCAAGTGTCATGTGTCAACTGACCACAAGCTCATCAAAAAGCTCAAACAAGAACTACGCCATTGAGCACAGTCAACTCACAGGACTATGAAAGATAAGAATAAATTGTTGTGAAGACATTAAATTTGGGGTGGTTTGTTATTGCTCTGAGCTGAATTGTACCCACTCTAAAATGTATATGCTAAAATCCAAACCCCCTGTACCCAGAATGCTGCAGTTCTGGAGAGAGAATTTTACAGGGGTAATTAAATTAAAATGAGGTCAATTGGGTGGGCCCTAATCCAATATGACTGGTGTCCTTTTGGGGAGAGGAAATATCCACATAGACATGTACAGAGAAAAGACAATGTGAAAACTCAGGGGGAGATGGCCATCAATAAGCCAAAGAGAGATCTGTCTTTCATAGAGCCCAGAAATATTCTGCCTGGACTTACCTACCTAGGTCCTGCTCCTAGAACTTCCATCTAAAGGCAAGGTACTCTTCTTCTGAGCAGAAATACATGATGAAAATATCTGAAATCTGTCAATCCTGAAACCCTCTCCACGTTTCCTGTTATTCTTTGTAATATCTTTGTGAAATTACAAGATGGGTTCCAGTCTGCTTCAATTTAGGCAATACTTATATGCAATTTCAACTTTGTCATTTTTTTATGTCTCATAATAGGGCATATGCGTGTGTGTGCGTGCACACATGTGTGTGTTAGTCTCCTTATTGCTCTGTATATTTGCCAGGTTCAGAATTGAGAAGGTTCAGAATGAAACTTCTGGACTATTACTATTATCTCTATCATCTTTCTTATTTCACAGCTGGGACTATTTCCTTGGATGTTTCACATGAACTTTTAAAAAGGCATGTTCAACATTGTCCTGATTGTCTCCAACCTGAGTTTTCTTTTCTCCTTAAATTTATTTTCTCTGTTAGTGGGGTATCATTAATTTAGTTCCCCAGACTAGGAATCTGGACATAATCATTAATTCCTCCATATTTTGTACCAGGAATATCAAAGTAATAACCTTGCCCTTTTACCTTAACTAAATATTTCTCAAATATGTTCTATCATCTCTATCTCTAAAAACCACTACTAAATGCTAAAATGATGCCCTAAGTATTTTCCTTTCTATTCCAGTTTTCCCTCTCAGCATTATCTTCTACACTATTTTCAAAGAACTCTATCTAAAATGCATGTTTGAAAAATGAATAAATAAATAAATATAAAATGACTATTTGATCACTTTTACTTCTGAAGTTTTTTGTTGTCAATGACTTCCAGGTGTACACAGGATAACATCATTCATATTAACACAGCAAAGAAAGCCACCCATTATTAGGTCCTTAGGAAGCTCAAATCTCCTTGTCCCATTCACCATTATGCTATTCCTGTCATAATAAAACTCCTTGCCCACATATTTTATGTATTTTGTCTCTACTTTCATTGCTCACTTTTCCTGTTGAAAACTCATCCCCAAGTCCACTTAGATTATGAGAAATCACTTATCTTCATATCTTAAATCAAGTGCCATGCCTTCTGTAAGCATTTCTGAACCATTTTCTTCACTGTGTTCTGGGTCAGTCTGTACGGCTTTAATCAAAGCACCTCCAAGTGTTTAATCTACTTCTTTTTAAGTGTTTTTCTCCCCATGTTAAACTCTAAGCAACTTAGGGTCAAGGTCCATATCTTGTGGATCCTTATAGTTTTAGTGCCAGACACATATTAATAAATACAAAAGCTGCTTCCTATGTTGATAATGTCCAAGTTTTGCCTCCCATCTAAATTGCAAGCTCACTGCCCTGGCCCAGAAGCTCAGCTGATTAGAGCATTGTTCTGATATGCCAAGGTGATGGGTTCGATCATGGGTCAGGGCACATATAAGAATCAACCAATAAATGCATAAATAAGTGGAACAACAAATCAATCTCTCTCTCTTTCTACCCCTTCCTCTCTCTCTCTCTTAAATCAATAAATCAAAAAAAAAATTGTTTAATTTCAAGTTCACTGAAGGCAGAGACTACATGTGCCCAATCAGATTTTATTTCTGCATATATTTATTCATGCTCTCTAGTCTGCTTTCTTAGGGGACAAAAAAATTGCTCCTCATGACTTAAATTTTTATGTTAGCCCCCGGGAAAAAATAATTTGAAACAATGACCAATTATTCTGCTACTGTGATAAAAATATCAAGTCTACTTTACATATTCAGGAAAAACAATAGAATAATAATAAATGTTGCTTTAATTTAGAATAATATTAAACTTATATAGCAAAATTCTAAAAATTGTGTTCCTTTATGGTAATGATGTTTTTTTTAATAGTTAAATTGGCTAATATAGAAGTGAATATTCAATACATACCTATAACATAATTTGATCTGTGTTATAATTAAGATTTTCCTATATTTATTAATTTTCCAAGTATTTAAATTTAGTTTTAAGTTAAAGCTAAACTAAATGTGATATCTATAGACTATGCAAATAAATTAAAGAATTAGACAAATTTGGACAATGTAACAATTTGCCTAAATATGAATTTTCCATGTTGTAAACTTTAATTTAATTTTAACTAAATGTGATATCGATAGGTTTTATGCAAATAAATTAGTTAAAAGAGAATTAAACATACACATGAATTTTGACAATGTAACAATTTCTCCTCTAGCATTTCCTACCATGAAACAAAAGATTAAGTCATTTAATACAATACTGTAAAATCTTCCTAAAATTGACTTTTTATATACTGAAAGACAATTATTATAAATAATAATATACATACCGAAGGATGGTCAGGGTGATTGGTACAGCAGAAAAAGCAGCAAATGTAATCGTAGAAAAGATAAAAACAATGAACACAGGTAATTTATAGCATTTTGCTTGACATATCCCAAGTCTGGCATCAATAAAATCACCTTGATTATCTGAAGTTGTTAATCCTTCATCAATGCAAGAACAATTGAAATATGTCTATAAAAATTAAGATAGAAAATGATTTTTTAGAACTATAGTCATAAAGCAAAAATTTATTACTGTAAAATAAAACTAAATCAATAACTACATGGAAACTAGTCAATTTCATCAGTAAATGCCCTTACATTAAACCTGCCAATCATCATTTACAAATGAAACATTAATAAGTCCAAGCTATTTTACTTAACAAAGACTCAGGTGTTTCTGTGTGTGTGTGTAATTAGTTACTTAGAAAAAATTCTATTAATTTAAGAAATTCCACCGAAAATATTTACATCTAATTGCACAAATAATTTTTGGAGAGCTATATAAATTGAGGGCAATTAAGGATAATGTAATAAATAAAATTGAACTTTAGCTAAGAGTTGAAATATGGACAGTTACCCAACTGTGGAAAGTTTTGGGACTATACGGCAAAGGTAAGACTTTATTTTGTATGTAATGATGGCAGGGCTATTATTTATTCAGCAGAGTAGGCATTGTTTATGGCCCCAAATACATTAAGGTCACATACAAATGTAATTCTAGTGTCTTTTTTGTTTTGTCTTGTTAATCCTCACCTGAGGATATTTTGTCCATTGATTTTTTTAGAGAGAATGGAAGGGGGGAAGAGAGACAGAGAGAAACATCAGTGTGAGAGAGATACACTGATTGGTTGCCTCCCTCACACACCCTGGCCAGGCCAGGGATCAAGCCTATAAGCAACTCAGATATGTGCCCTTGACCAGGATCGAACCTTCAGTCTGAGACCCTTCAGTCTGTGGGCCAACGCTCTAACCACTGAGCCAAACCGGCTAGGGCTGTCTTTTAAAATTAAAATAAATGGACATAATAATAATGAATCCAGTCTAGATCATATTTGTCTTCATACTAATGCACTTGTACATTAATTTTTTTTTTTTTTTTGCTTATAAAAGCAAAGTGTCTAGGATCAATGAAACTCACAATATAGCCCTAAATGGGAGCCAATGAAAACCTGAGGTGGTTGTTGTGGGGTTGATCATTCAAGAAAGATGAATAAGTGATATTTTCTAAGAAGAACTAAATAGTTTGAAGATACAGAGGTCAGTTGGCAATTTATTAATCTATTGAAAAGATTCCAAGTTTAAAAATTTATCATAAATTCAACAGAAATATGGAATTAGGTTACTAGTGAAGGTATAAGAAGAAACAAAGATGGCTTGAATCTGAGTGATCCATAAAATGATGGTCCCCAAATCATCTGTTTGTTTGTGGGAGTTACTAGGTAGTTACTGAATAGGCAAAAAAAATAAAATAAAATAGAAATAACCAAATATTCAAACTGCAATTTATTCATTCCATTGTATTTGTTTTAGTGTCTATGTACTAAACATCATACGAGGTGTTGTGAAAACACACTAAACAATACAATAGAAATACAGGGTTTATAAGGGTGAACTTATGATCAATGACTACGTCAATGACTCAGTGAAAGCTGAGCAGAGATTTGAAGAAGGGAAGGGAAGGGAAGGAGCCATCTGGTTATCTGAAAAAACTGCATTCCAGGTTGGAAACAAAAACATGCTTGATCAGTTCAAAGAAGAGCAAGGAGGAAAATGTGGCTGAAGCAGAGTGAACAGGAAATAAGCTAACAGAAAATAATCAGCTTAAAATTAAGAGAAGAACAAATGTAAGTAGACTCAGTTGATCTAGATAGTGGAGTTAACAGAACTTTAATCATGATTAATATTTTTCAAAAAATGGAGGGTAAAGTGGATAAAGTATCTTAAATGATGTGAAATTTAACAGGATTTGGATTCTACAAAAACATAAATGTTAGAACTGAAAAATACAATGAGTAAGCTTAGAACCTCAGTTTTAAAAGCAGACACTACCGAATAGAGAATAGAGAATAAGGCAGGTCAACAGAAAGTATCTACATTTAAACAAACAGATGAAAAGAGATGGAAAACCGAGAAAAAGAACAAGAGTATTGGACACAGTGGAAAGGTCTATTTGTAGCCTACAGTATGCAAAATTCTAAGATGGCATCTAAGGTTCCCGCCCCCTTATTATATAAACCTGCATCTACCTAGGACTGTGAATTGATGGATTTTACGCATCTAAGTTACATTATATGGCATAGTTTATTTTTAAAAAGAGAGGGTAAACCTCATCTAATTAGGTAAGCCTTAAAAGGTACTGAGCTTTTCCTGAAGTCAGAGATTCAAAGCATGTGATAAGGGAGATTCTCTGTTACTAGCCCTGAAGATGGAGGTAGTCATGTTGCAAAGAATGTGGGACTCAAAGAGCTAAAACTGGACCTAGCGCACAGCTATCAAGTAAAGGGAGGCCTCATTTTTTACAGTGCAAAGAAACTGAATTGGCCAATCTGGTAAGTAGATTTTCCCAGAGCCTCCAGAAAGGAACACACTCAGCCAACAGCTTGATTTCAGCCTGTGAGACTCTGAGCAGAGGAGCTTGTCATGCCGTATCTGGACTTCTGAATTTAGAACTATGAGCTAATAAATGTGTATTACTTAAAGACAAAAGGCAGTGGTAATTTGTTATATAGCAATAGTAAACTAATACATGCCCTCCCAAAAAAGAAGAGAGAGTGAGGGAGAAATAATAGCTGAGAATTTTCCAACTGATAGCCATAAATCCACAAACTAAAGATGTTCTATGAAACCCAAGCAAAATAAATATAATGAAAACCATATCTACACACATTAAAGTAAAACTGCTGTAAATAAAAAACAAAGAGAAAACTCTAAAAGCAGCCAGAGACATAGACATTATAATGGCATCTTTCAAATGCCAATATAGAATTCCATACCCAGAGAAAACAGGTGTTTTTTTTTAAAAAAAAAAAAAAAAAAAAGGTGAAATACGGTTCCTCAGAAAGAAAGAAATGATCTCATATGAAAGCAAGAAAATGGGTAATTATAAGTGCATACTGACTGTACAAAATAACAATAATAGCATGTGTCTTATAAAATATATGAAGAAATAAAATATATGACAAAAATAACACAAAGGTGGGAGGTAAGTAAAGGAAGTTAAAATATTCTAAGGATGATTCAACGGCAAGAGACCCTGAAGCCTGGCTTCCTGTGATGCTAAATGCTTTGGATGAGATTGACCTCCCTCTCTACAGATAATTAGAATGAGGCTCCTGTTGGACTAGAATAGCCTTTAGAAGTCCCCGCTTCCAGTTGTTTTATAATGAAAGCTGTATCGGCGGCTGAAAAGAACGAGTCCCAATGAGAAGATGAAGAAAAACCCAAGATTTCTTTTATATCTACAAGGAAATTTGAAGATCTTTGGTGGCATAGATAAGAAGAATACATATGGGTCTCAAAGAGGCAAAACTGCTCAGGAATATTATCAATATGAAGAGGATGTATCTATTTTCAGTTTTAGTAAAGCTGTGATTTTCTATAGGAATTTAGAAATATTCAGAGGTATAGTATCTCCACCACTCCTCTTGCAAACTTTTGCATGAGCGTAATTAGAGAGCATCCAATTCTAACTCATGTTGATCTTGATCATGTTTTGAAAATGAACATTTAATCAGAATTATCTCAAAATTGACCTATTTTCATTGAAAAATACTTTACAGAGGGAATTTCATTAACACCATTTGATCATTTTTGTATATGATGTTTCTTTTATTTAATTTTCATTTTGTTAAAAATGATTTTTATTGCTATCAATTCTTTCCCATTTGAAATTAATGCATATTTTATCCATTAATCAGTGGCATCCATATCACACTGTACTAATCATAGCTTCTGCTACTGTCAGTTTTCCTTCAGAGCTAACAATTTTTAAAGCCTGAGTCCCTACTTCTGTGCTAACTATCCTGAGTAATTTTTAAGAGATCTAATTTTTGTCAAAAATATTTTATTCTGGGACCATTTGAGATCTTGCTCCCCAGAATGTATCAGTTTGGCTCAAATAAACTCTTATAAAATTTCTCAAAAAATATTTAATTCTTCTTTCAATTTTTACTTAGTATCAAAGGTTACCATACAGTTTGACTATTTTGTTGGTTATTTCTATCACTGCTATTCATTATGAATTAATTATTTCCTAGAGAAATACAAGAAAATTATAAAGATTTTTAAGAAATAGAAACAAAATCCCTAAAAAGAATTCCCCCCCAAAAGTTGTGTTTTATGCTATGGTGACAGCATGAGTATTTACTTATTTCAAATCATTTACTTATTTCAAACAAAAATGGAGAAGAGGAAGTAAGTAGGAGTATAAAGTTGATTTTCTGTAAGTTAATAAATTGGTGAAGATGGTTAATTGGCGTATAGGAGTTCATTATACTTTTCTATTACATTTAATGTTTTCCACAGTAACATATTTTAAAGAGTAAAAACATATAATCTAACATATAATAAAGACTTTAAAGGGTATGCAAACTTTTTATATTAATAGTCAATACAAAACTGAAGATCTGTGATTAAATCATAACCCACTGAAAGATTACTACGAGGAACTAAAAGTTGGTCAAGTACGCTAATACACTGTAATGAAATGATGTGTAACAGGGAAAAGAATATTGCTATGTAGGTACATAGCTAATGAAGGACTTTACTGCCTAATAAGGGAGGTGCTATAATGTCTATCGGTCAGGAAATATATGTCTTTGTTGCTCTCTCTCTTTTACAAAACTAACCTGAGTCCCTACTTCTGTGCCACTTAAAAGGGAGACATTGAAGTTACAGTCCATTATTTAGATAAAAGCTCATTTATGCAACTTAGAACATAAGAAAATTTACCTGGAGACAAGTAGCTGAGTGGTCAACTGCTCTACATGACAAAAAAAATTTGCCTGGTGGTTGGTAAAAGACTCAAGGAAAGGAATTCTGATAGTAATGGCCCCAAAGATGAGCAAGTAGGGGCATTTTAAAATGAGACCTGATTTGTGTAAATATCCAAGAACAGAGATAACATATGTTCAACTTTAAGTTATTTGCATTGCTGCTAGAATGTAAACATCATCCACAAGTTCAACCTCTTACTGAAGAGGCAGAAGCATAATTAAAAATAATTACCTTCTGCCTTTTAAATGTTTTAAAATAGGTACAGCCTGCAAAGCAAGGAGAAAAATATCCAATATCATTTCTTCCACATATAGGTGAATAAAATGAAGATGAGCAACTACAATAAGAATTGCAAGGAGCTGTCAGGTTTCCCAACTGCCCTGTTCTGTAAAAAAAGAGATTGAATGTAATTATAATGCCATGGTAGTATATTTATTAATGTACACATCAAGATATCAACGAGATCCATAAAAATATTTAATTGCTTTTTAACAGCTTTATTAAGGTATAACTGACATACAATAAACTGTAATGTTTAAAGCTTACAATATGAAAATTTTAAATATATGTATACACTTGTGAAACCATCATCACAATCATGTTAACAATCAATCAATACCCCCATAAGTTTTCTCATGCTCCTTTGTAATTCCTCCACCCCCTGGCACCTGCTGATCTACTTTCTGTCACTATCATTACTTTGAATTTCATAGCATTTTGTGAAATGGAACAATACATTATGTTCACTTTCTTTGTCAGGCTTCTTTCATGCGGCTGATCTTCATGTGGTCTTTGCATGGTCATATGCTTCCATATCTCTTGAATAAATATTAAGGAGTAGAATGTTTGGATGATATGGTAGGTGTTCATTTAACCTTTTAAGAAACCCTCAGTTTTCCACAGTATGTTATTTTTACATTCCCATCAGCAGTGTATGAGAGTTTCAGTTGCATAAATTAAAAATAAATTAAAAATAGTTTCCGTTGCTTTCCACATTTCTCATCAACACTTGGTATGATCAGTCTTTTTAATTTTAGACATTCTAATAGGGATATAGTAGTTTCATATTTTGGTCTTTAATATGAATTTCCCTAATGACTAATGGTGTTCTGCATCTTTTATCATATTTATCCTTATTTCTTTTTCTGATACGAATGCTAATGAAATTTTTAATATAAATTTCCAGTTGTCTGTAAGTAGTACACAGAAATACCATAGATTCCTGTATATTGGTCTTTTCTTCTACAATATTTATTTTTTCTTGATACTATTGTTAACAGTATTTTTAATATTAATGTCTGCTAATTTGTAGGTAGTAAATAGAACTACCATAGATTTTTGTATATTGATCTTGCATTCTACAAACTTGCTAAACTCATTTTATTAGTTATAGTGTGTGTGTTTTTTCTAGATAGACAACTGTGTTGTCTTCAAATAAACACAGGTTTACTTCTACTTTTCCTATCTGGATGCCTTTATTTTTCTTACAATAATGGCTAGTCTCCAGTTCAATTTAATACAGAAGTCTTCAAAGCAAACATCTTAATTGTATTCCTGGTCACTCAGTGGTTCATCATTGTCTTAGTCTGCTCAGCCTGCTATAACAAAATATAATCAACTGGGTGGCTTAAACAACAGAAATTATTTCTTACAGTTATGGAAGCTACGTCCAAGCTCAAGGTGCAGGCAGCTTTGGTGTCTGGTATGCGCTTTCTTCCTGGATTGAAGACCACCACCTTCTCCATGTACCCTCACATAGTGGAGAGGCTTTGGTTTCTTCTTCTTCATCTCCAAAGTCACTAATCCCATTGTGGGGAGGGGAGGGTCCACCCACATGACCTCATCTAGACCTAATTATCTCCTAAAGGCTCCACCTCCTAATGCTATTATATTGGGGATTAGGGCTTTATACATGAATTTGGTGGGAGGACGAAACACAAACATTCAGTACATAATATTTTCATAGATTCCCTCCATTTCTAGTTTCCTAGAATATCAGAGTGCTCTTTTGGCATCTATTCACATTATATATGTCTTTTGCATTCTTAGTTTGTTGATATGGTGGATTATATTGATTTTCAAATATTAAACCAGCCTTGCATCTCTGTGATAAATCTTGCTTGATCATACTTTATTTTCCTTTTAATACATTATCGGGTTTAATTTACTACGATTTTGTTAAGAATTTTTGAATCTATGCTCATGAGAGATATAGGTGTATGCTTTCTTTTTCCTACGTTTCTCTGGCTTGATAGCAGGAAAATCCAAGTCTCATAGAATGCATTGGAAAGTATCGATTCTGTTTCAATTTTCTCAAAGAATTTTTGAAAATTAGATATATATTTTTTTAATTAATCTTTATTGTTGAAAGTAGTACCTGTGTCTTTTTTTCCCCATTGACCCCTTCTACTCTGTACCTGCCCCCACCCCAGGCCTTCACCACACTATTGTCTGTGTCCAAGGGTTATGCATATATGCATATACATTCTTTGGTTAATTTCATTAATATTTAGTTGCATCTTTATTATTTGCTTCCTTTGGGCTTATATTGCTCTTCCATTTCTAAATTCTTGAGGTGGGAGTTTAGATTATAGATTTGAGACTTTTCTTAATTTCTATTGTATCTTTTTAGTTAGTACTATAAAATTTCTCCCTAAAGACTGTTTTAGTTGTATCCTGCAATTGTGATATGTGGTATTTTCATTTTCATTCAGATCCATGTATTTTCTTTCAATTTGTCTTGACTTCCTCTTTGACCCATGGATTTAGAATCATGTTACTTAGTTTCCACGTGTTTGGAGATTTTCCCATTATCTTTCTGTTACTGATTAAAGTTTGATTCCACTGTGGCAGAAAACACACTCTGCATAGTTTCAGTTCTTTTAAACTTTCCATGTTTGTTTTATGGTCCGAAATATGGTCTATTTTGCTTAATATCTCATTTGTACTCAAAGAGAATATCCATTCTGCTGTTGTTGACTGGAGAGCTCCAAGAGACAAATTAATTCAAGTTGGTTGCTTGTGTTACTATTTCTTTATTCTCCCTTCAGAAGGTAGTGGTTAACTTTCCAAATATATTTCTGGATTTGTCTTCTTTTCCTTCCAGTTGCACTAGTTTTTCCGTATTATATCTTGAGGTACTGTTGTTAGCTGCAAACCTGAGTAGAATGGTTTGTGCTTCTTGGTAAATGGACCAATTTGTCATTTTGCAATGTCTCTTTATCCCTGAGATTTTCTCGGTGCTGACGTCTGATATTAATATATTCCTTCTAGCTTTCTTTTGTTTAGTATTTGTATACCTTTTCTCATAATTTTTAAACTGTATATGCCATTATTTGATGTAGATTTCATGTAGACTAAATTTGGCTGGAGTTTAATTATTTATCCAATCTGAAATAGCTGCCTTCAGGTAAGTAGGTTTCCACTAGGGATCAGTGAATAGTTTCTGAAATGGGCCAGATAGCAAATATTTTAGGCTTTACAAACCACGTGCTTTCTGTTGTATATTCTTCATCCTTTTCTGATTAGACTTTATTTTTTAGAACAGTTTTCGGTTTACAGAATAATTAAGCATATAGAGAGTTACCATATACTTCTCCTCCTACACAGTTTCACCTATTATAAATACATTGCTTTAGTGTGGTACATTTTTGTATAATTGATGAACCAATACTTTTCCTTTTCCAGAATGTCATATGGTTGGACTCATATATTATGTAGCCTATCATACTGCCTTCTTTCACTTAGCAATATACACTTAAGGTTCCTCCATGTCTTTTTGTGGCTTGATAGCTCATTTCTTTTTATCATTGTATAATATTCCATGTATGAATATACTACAGTTTATCCATTTACCTATTAAAGGGTATGTTGGCTGTTTCCAGTTTTGAGCAATTATGAATACAATTATGAAATTCCCTAATGTCACGTGACACTGGGCATATTTTCATATGCTTATCACCATCTGTATATCTTCTTTAGTGAGGTGTCTGTTCAGACCTTTTGGTGATTTTTAATTGGGTTGTTTATTTGAAAACAAGTTAAGATTTAAGATTAACAAGTTTTAAATGTTCTTTGAATATTTTAGATATGTCTTCTATCAGATATGTATTATTCTCTCAGTTCGTGGCTTCTCTTTTAATTCTATTAACTCTGTCTTTCACAGAGAAAGGTATTAATTTTAATAAAGCCAACATATTTCTTTTTCTTTCATGCATCTTCATTTGGTGTTGTATTTAAAATGTCATCACTAACTTCAAGGTTACCTAGATTTTATCCTACGTTACTGTCTAGAAGTTTTACAGTTTTGTGTTTTACATTTAGGTCTATGGTCCATTTTGAGTTACTTTTTTTTTTTTTAAATATATCTTTATTGATTTCAGAGAGAAGAAAGGAGAGGGAGAGAGAGATAGAAACATCAATGATGAGAGAGTCATTGATCGGCTACCTAGCCCACAACCCGGGCATGTGCCCTGACCGGAAATCGAACCCTGATCGCCTGGATCCTAGGTCGACGCTCAACCACTGAGCCACACCCGGCCGGGCTTGAGTTACTTTTTTGTAAAAGGTGTAAGTTCTATGTCTAGATTCCTTCTTCCCACGCCCTGCCCCCCTTTTTTTGCATGTAAATTTTCAGTTAGTGCAGCACCATTTGTTGAAAAGACTATCTGCATTCTGATCCAAAAGGTGACACAGGAAGCCTCCTGAACTCACCTCCTCCCATGGCCAAACTAAATCTACAGCTACACATGGAGAAATTCCCTCTTCAGGAACTAACTAACTGACTCCTGCACATTGGCCAAATAAGAAAATATCCACATCACCCACACTGAAATGGATAGAAAAAGTTGAGACACACTCTCACCATAAAGCTCACCCCAAGCGCAGTGCCATAAAATTGGGAAGGAGCTCCCAACTCCCAACATCTTCCTGAGGAGCAAAGCATTTGAAACTCACATTAGCACACCAACTTTCAAGACTCACACATGAGGAATGGGCCCCCTAAACAACAGCCTCTGAAAGCCAATGGGGCTTGTGTCCAGGAGACCCATGAGACTATAAACAAAGAAACTATAAACTCCTAATGAGTTCTACAGGACTTACTGTTGCTATACCCCCATGCCCCACCCCCAGAGTTCAGAACAGAGGCTGCAGGCAAAAATAGCCTGCCTCTCAGAATTTTCCTGAAAGAGAATGAGGATAATCTTTTCAACAAATGGTACTGCAGTAACTGAAAATTTTTTGAATGGTTTCTCTAGAATTCCCAACATACATTTACAAGTAATTTAAGTCTATTTTCAAATAACACTATGCCAGTTTATGGGTAGTGCTGGTATCCTAAAGCATTCCCAATTCCTCTCTTGATTTCATAAAACTGTTGTCACTCTTTTCACTATCCATAAGCTGTAATCACTGAATACCTTATTGCCATTATCATTTTTTAACAGAGTTATCCCACCAATTAAAAATAAGAATAATAAAATATATTTTACCTTCATTTATCTTTAATGCTCTTTGTTTGAGACAGAAAAGAAAGTTTAGAGAAGGATTCATTTGTCTAAAGTTGGGTAGGGGAAACTCTGGTAGTTTCCCTAGAGGGCAGGCTTTTGCTACATAGAGCAGACTTCTCTGGGGCATATTGCAAAATGGTTACTTTCCCTCTCCTCCTGCCTAAAACACAAGAGGATTTTTCTTCTTGTGAGAACGTGGTGGGGGCACCTAGATGTAAGAGCCCTTAAATAGTACAAAGTAGAAGCCCTATTCTTTATTGTTTTTCACAACCCTTACTAATATAAAAACTATTCATAGCTTACAGACCATACAGAAAAAGGCAGCAGTATAATAGATAGATATAGGTAGATACATATGGCTCAACTATATACATACCTAATATATACACACACATATACACACACACACATAGTTGACCCTTGAACAACACAGGGTGGGGGTGGTTAGGGACTCTGACCCACACACAATTGAAAATCTACATAACTTAAGTTGACCCTCTGTATATGTGGATTCCTAACCGTGGATCAAAAATACTATTTTCTGTTTATGGTTGAGAATCAGTGGATGTGAAACCCAGGGACACAGAGGGTTGAGGGCATATTTTTTGAAAAAAACATATAGTGTTCCCACACAGTCAAACTGTTATTATTCAGTATCTGGATACCCTGTGGGTCTATTCTACCATCTGTTTTCTCTCATAGTTTTTGGCCATGTCCCTGACCTGCCTGGTAATTTTTTTAATGCAAATTTTTGCCTAAGACAATTTACAGCTCTGTATATCATCTTTTGTTCAGAGTGTTGAGTATCTCTTTATGCTGCTGGGTAGAGTGCTGGCTGCTCACATCAATCCAATTAGAGAGCAAATTAACTCCTGACTAGGCTATAGTACTTTAGAAAGGCCCTCATTCCTAGGTCTTAGCCTTTCAAATATACTGAGAACATGTGTTTACCAAAGTTCCTCCCCCTGGCACATTCTAACCTCCCAGCACATTACTCTCTTATGTAAAGAGCATCATAATACTGCTGAAAATTTTCTCTGCTTTTTACAAGATTCTTCTTGATGTCAGCCTCTTAGCTTCCTAATTCAGCAAATGTATTGAATGAAAACCCAACAGAGTGTTATCTCATTTGTCTACCTCTCTCTTCTCTCTGATAATTCTGCCCTGCCCCATGCTCTAATTTTTGTCTCTTTAGACTCATAGGTCTGTCAAAAATGTGTGCTGATTTCTAGTCATATTACTAGATGCATTTTTGCCCAGATCCTCTGTCCAAACTCTGAGTTTCTTACCAATGTCCAAAATCAGCAAATACCCTCAGAGGGGAAAAACTGCGGAAGGTTGTTCCCTCTCTCCAAGGTTTGCCTTTCTCAGGATTTTGGCTTTTAAATTCCTCATTGTCTAAGTAGTTTTAAATAAATCTTTTAAAACTTTATTCAGCTTTTCTAGTTATTCTCAGTGGGAGCATTGGTCTGCCATAAGCTACTCCATTGTAGCTGGAAGTGGAAGTCTTATTTTGTTTTACTTGCTCAGTTCTTTGGTTTCCAATTCCAATTCTGTTCCCCTGCATTTAATGTCAATCTCTGCCCATTTCTTTGAATTTTTGCATGTTTAGCTTCAAGGAGACGTTACTCATGCATACTTTCAAATGTACTTCAGTTTCATTCTTTGATGTCTTTAAGGCGGCAGACATACCAATTCAGGAACACAAAGTAAGACTCACTTTGTACAGACAGTACTGTCTCCAAGTAGCTAGCCACTTTAATACCGAATTCTACTTGTAGGTTCTGAATAATTTCAATGTGTTTTTTCTTTAGTATTTTATAAATGAGTAAATAATCATTTAACAAGCTATCATTATTACATTTCTGTCCTTAATAAAAAAGGTAAAACTATGCTCTATATTTCTTTTATATGTTCAATAATTCCAAGAATGATAAAAATATAAAGGTCACTGGATAGATAATCATTTATTGACTAAAAAATACATTGTTGGGTTTGGAGGTAAATATCTAATAGATAAAATTATATTTACCCATTATAATTTTCATTGATCCCAGCAAACGGTATTGGTTTACAGCGTACAAAAACTGCAAACACAACCAGTACAAGTGATATAGCAGATGTAACCATTATAAATCTCATAAGGCCTTTATAAGACATATGTAACTTGGAAACAATGGCACCTCCCAGAAGCTGGCCAAGTGCACCTCCTGGAATTAAAATAAGTCCTAAAAGAAAAAAGGAAGAAGAGAAAACACAATTAAAAATAATCAACTAAAGACAGTACAGAAAATTCATACGTTGATGCAATCCCCTCTGCTCTAAACATATAGCAAAAACAGATTTAAATAAAAAGACAGAGAAAAAATGTGAAGGATTGATAAACATCTCAACAAAACTGAACCATAAAATTAATACAAATTTATGAGTGGGGCTGAAGCTATAGGCCTAACGGACTTTAGGACAGAGCTGGTAAATTTTGCTCCCATGTAATAATGACATCTAAGATAAACCCAAGCTTAATCCATGCAAAATAGAAGATGAGAACTGTCCTATTAAGAGCTATTGCTGCATAGCTGCCTGGACTTATGGCTTATAGCAAGAGATATGCCCACAGTGACAGGAGTTCACAAACAGATTTGTTACCAAGAATTAAACCAAGGCTCCATTGCTTCTGTGAATGTATGTGCAATATCAATAATCTCATAACAAAGTGGGACTCCAAGATAGCCATTAGGAGATGTAGTTTTCTTTTCCATGAAGCCTAAGGGCTTAGAAAGAGGAAAGCACAAGAAGGAAAATGGGAAAGGGGAAGAGAAGAAATATAGTTAGAAAATCATCAGATGAAGATAGCACAGTAATGTCATATATTGAGGTAATCTCCTCTGCACCAAATATATGGACATGGTAGATTTAAATAGGAAAATAGGAAGAGAAATATAAGGTAAAAACAGAACAAAAAGATCCTATTAACACCAGATTAAATTTATATAATAGAATTGTCCGACGGATGTAAATTATTTTAGAATGCTCAAAAAGCTTAATGACAGTATAACTTCCATAAAAATGAAGAATAAATAAAATCGTAAGAGAAAGTAATGAAAAATAAGAGCAGGTGGATTAAAAAAAGAACAAGCAAGAACCCTGGATATTTAAAAATCTAATTTTTAAAATAAAAACTCAAATCCCAGACTAGAGAGTGAATTAATAAGCTGAAAGAATGAATTGTGTTATTCATCCAGTATCTAACTTAAAAAAAAAAAAAAAGAGCAAAAGGTGAATAACTAAAATAAGCAGTTAAAAGACAATTAGTACAGTGGAGAAATTTGATAGACAGGACCTCAGCAAGATGAGGAAGGTCAAATTCAAAAGTAGTAAGCTATGGAGATAGTGTGTACCCCTGATATGACTGATAAAAATCGTGGCACATTACCTCTGTGGTCTTCCTTTCAAAACCCATAACTCCTGCCTAATCATGAGAAAAGCATTAGACTACTTCCAATTGAGGAACATTCCAAGAAACTGACAAGGTCATCAAAAACAAGAGAAGACAGAGAAGCTGTTATAACCAAGAAGACCCTAAGGAGACTTGAGAACTAAATATAATGTGTTATTCTGAGTGAGATCCTGGAAAAGAAAAAGGATATTATATGAAAGCTAAGGAAATCTAAACAAAATGTTGACTTTAGTTAGTAATAGTGTATTAATAGTTGCTTCATTAATTCTAACCAATCTACCATACTACCACAAGACATTATCAAAAGGGAAACTAGGTGTGTATATATATATATATATATAGAAACTCTTTATTATCTTTAATTTTTTCTGTAAATATAAAACAATTCAAAAAATAAAGTTTGTTTTAGAAGACAGTGAAAATATGTGAAGCACCACAAAATGTTTTACAGCAGTCATGAGAAATATCATGAGAGGTATACCAGAAAAACAATATTTGAAAATTTGTAACTGAGAACGAGAATTTTCCATAATTAAAGAAATATTAGTCCTGGGAATAAAAGTACACTTCAACTACTGAAGAGTAAAAAATAATTAAATCAATTTTGCACATAATGAAATAAGCTAGGGAAATTTATAACAAGACTAGAGCAAAAATTATAAAACTGCCAGAGAGCATGTTACTTGCAAAAGAATCGTAGTTATAGCTAGTTTTTAAAATGATAAAATTAATATCCTAGACCAAACACATATAAATGTTCATACACATGCTCCTGAAAAGTAGTGGTAGTGCACTGTCAGTGGGTAGTTAAAATCTCCTAAGCAAACGAGGGAGATAAAATGAATAATAAGTAAGTCCATTGAGATAAGACAGGATAGTAAGGGAAAAAAGAAGAAAAATAGAAGGGTAATAAATAAAAAAGTACAAATAAGTTAAAAATTACTTAAATAAAAGAACTCAGAATAATACTAAATAAATAAAATTAAACTATTAAAAAGACATTATCAAATTGGGTATTTAAAAAAAACCAAAGTTTGAAAATAAAATAGTGAAAAAATATGTATCATGAAAATAGACCATGACAATATATAAAATAAATTATGTAAAAACTGCCAAGATTTCAAAAAATTTAAAAATCCATAAGCAAAACAGTATTTTAACTTAGGTTTCTCAAAATAGACTTACTTATAACACTATTAAAGATATCGAAAATATTGATTTGAACAGTTATTTTAAAAGAGAAACAAAAGCATATGTTTAGCAACTAAAAATCTCTTCTATTTAATACATGGATTAAATAAAAATGTGATGATAAAAATTAAGAATACTTAGCACTGAACAATAATAAAATTGTATCTGAATGTATGCGATGCTACCAAAGAAAATCTGTAAACAATGATACCTCCATCATAAGGTGGTTAGAATTAAATGAGTTAATATTTAAGTGCTTAGAACAGTATCTAGTCACAGAGTAAACATTATATAAATGTTAAAAGCTAGGCAATTATGGACAAACTCATTTATTAGAAAGCAAAAAAGTACAAAGCAAGGGAATATTTATCAATAAAATTGTGAGAATTGGAACTGAATCAGGAGACTTCAGAGGGTAGGCAATAAGTCTGCAGGTAAGGAAGTCCAGAAGTAAACCACATTTTACTTCAGAATCACAGACATTAAGGAGAGTAGGTACCAACCAAAACAAGAGCGAAGAAGAGTTAAAAACAAGAGGGTGAATGGCAGTCTACATAAGACGTTCGATCCTCTGAATTCCTATTCCCATCTACATGCCATATGACTGACTAAGAAGAGGACCCTAGACCTATTCAGTTTGAACTTGACAACTGTAGATTTGGGAAAACCAAGCACATCTGCAAGCAGAAAACTGAGAACCCAACTTAGGTAAGAAAATATTGGCTGTGAGGCTTGTTGCTGTAGGCCAGCGATTTTCAACCTGTGCGCTGTGGCATACTAGTGTGCTGCAAGAATTTTTAAAACATGCAATACCTGACTATTTAGACAAAAGCACTGACCTCTTTTCCCTTATATTGGCAAATAAAAAAATGACAACAGCCAGCACAATAGTTGTCCGATGTGAATGAATCAAAATTATACCTTTAAATTATACCTTTTTTGGTCAGACAGGTAAAAAATATATATTTTTTGGAGTGCCACAGAATCTTAGTAGTTAGTTTGTATGTGCCATGAGATGAAAAAAGTTGAAAATTGCTGCCCTAGGCAATAAAAAAATACTGGATACTGGGAGTCCAGCAATTAAATAGCTGGGTCCTTGAAACACCACCCTAAAAGGAAACAAAACAGTTGAAAATTCAACTGCAATGCACAGAACTTCCAATAAACTTTTTTTTTTTTAATCCTCACCTGAGTTATGTTTATTGAATGCTTGTTGATTTGAGAGAGAGAGAAAGAGAGATTGATGTAAGAAACATCATTTGGTTGCCTCCCATACAAGCCCCCGAACCCAGATCAAACCTGTAACTTTTTTGGTGTAAGGGACGACGCTTCAAACAACTGAGCTGCCCTGCCAGGGCCCAATCAACTTTTTATGTAAATATTTTATTGGTGTAGAGAAAAGTACACAAATCACAACTGTACATATTGATGAGTTTTCAAAGTGAACCTAACATATGTAACCACCACCTAGATCAAAAATCGAACATTACCAGAAGACCCAGAGGCTCCTTCATGCACTTGCAGAATTTTGTAAAATATGGACCACAAAGTATGCATACATTATAGCTTCTTTTGATCGGCATGATGTTTGAAAAATTCACCCATGTATTTGTATATAACAATAGACCATGTCTTCTCCTTGCTGAATAGCAATGTATATGCATGTACCACAACTTATTTGTTCACTGTGATATTGTGAATTGTGCAGCTATTTGAAAAATTCATGTATATGTCCTTTTGTAAACATTTGCATTTCTTTTGGGCACATTCTTAAGAGAGGAACTTATGTTGGGTATGTAAATAGGAGTGAAATTTCTGGGTCAAGGAATATGTATATTCAGATTTTTATGATACTGCCAAACAGATTTATAAAATGGTAAACCAATTTACCTTCTCACCCATAGTAGAAGAAATGCCAATAGCTCTGCATCAATGCCAACACCTCTCTCTTTCATTTTAGCCATTCTGGTGAATGGGTAATAATAATATTACATTGTGGCATTTCTCTGAAAACCACTGAAGGTGAGCATATTTCATATGAATATTGGCCAACTGATATAATCTTTTATAGAATGTCTATTCAAGTATTTTGTTCATTTTATTGGATTATTTGCCTTTTTATTATTGTCAAATATTTTTACATATTTGAGCACAAATCCTTTCTTTGTACATTGTATTTCTTAAAAAAGATTGTCTTGCTTCCATTTTCACTATTTGTGCTGACATGTGATGAGCTGAAATTCTTAATGTAAAACCACTTATTTTTCTTTATGGTTATGTGATTTATGTCCTATTTAAAAAATATTTTGTCTTCTCTAAGGCCACAAACCACTTTTGCTATGCCTTATTCTAAAAAGCTTTATTATCATTCACATTTAAATGTACAATCCATGTACAATCCATCTAGAATTTGTATTTGTCTATGTAGTGAGGTAGAGGTCGTGATTTATTTATTTTTCATAAGGATATCTAATTGACTTAATATCACTAATATCTAATTAACTCAATTTTTTGTTTTATATATTTTAAAGCTATGTTGTTAAGGCCATACACATGTATAACTATATTACCTACATCATTGGTTGACTCTTCTGATATTATAAATGATCTCTCTTTATATTAAATAATGCCTCTTACTTTGAAGAATACTACAATTAAAATTACTATAGTTACACCAAATTTTGTTTTGGTTAATATTCATATAGTACAACTTTTTCAGTTCTTTGACTTTCAACCTTTTCATGTCTTCATATTTAAGGAATGCCTCTTGTAGGTAACATAGCAGATTTCCCCCCTCAACCTGACAATCTTTATTTATATTCACATAATTCTACTCTATTGGGCAACAATTCTCCATTACCTCTGATGCTGTATATCCTGCAAGCAGAAGCACTAACTACTCTTTGTTCTATCTTTTCAAGGATCTTTGTATAGTGAACAGCCTTGGATAACAGAGATAGTGTCCTCCTCTAGAGCAGGGTCAGGTTTGCTTCTGGTTTTGGAAGACAGAGATAGTGTCCCCTCTGGAACTATGCAAAGATACGTGCTGTCAAATATAATAAAAATAGCATCTCCCTCTGGATCAAAAGGCAAGTATGATTAGTATCCATTATAAAATATTTGGGTTCCCCAAATTCAGGGAATGTAATGCAATCCACTCCTGTAATGCAAACCATTGTGTGTGCAGATATCACTGGCTCTCCTTCACATCATTCTATGGGACTGGATCTCAGAAAACTCACACACACACACACACACACACACACACTCTCTCTCTCTCTCTCCTCTCTCTCTCTCTCTCTCTCTCTCTCTCTCTCTCTCTCTCGCTACTGCTATTGCTGAGAGTCACACACTTTCCTTCATCTCTGACCAAGGAGTTTTATGTCTTCTGCTAGCATCCATGAAATTATGTTAAACTAACTTGTTAGCTTTCAAATACAGTAAAATTCAAGCCCTTCACGGATCTTAGCACTTATGGTGACAAAGGTGAAATGCTGACCGAGACATGGCTTTATGCAGGGTGAAGAATGACAGCCTCATAGATCAAGTAACAGGACTTGAATGAAATACTGGGAATCAGTAGTGAACATGTTGATTATTGCCTATTAATTATGAAGAATTGGAAAGGTGGCTGCATGCTGAAGTAGACTTAAAGAAGGTGCCTCCTCTAGGCAAAAGGACTTCCTTACAATTCTGACCATCAGCCTCTGATTTGCCCATGGTAACAACTAGTACTAAGATATATGCTGGTTGGACAAAGGATTACTCTGGATTTCAGACAACAGTTACAGAGATGTACAACTACACTGAGTGTGAAAGGAGGGAAATTTATAGCCTCTATAAATTCACACAAACTGGTGAATAATTAGAAGTCTAGCTGATTTGTTTGGTTGATGATGGAATGGAGTGCACTGTCTTCGGGCTGCAATGAAATTTATGGCATAGGCTGATGGTACTTGATATGCTGTCCTGGTCATTGCCAAATCCTTCTTTTCTATCCCATTTGCACCCAAAGACAAAGACCAATTCTCATTCATGCCGCAAGACCAGAAATATGCATTTGCAGTATTCAGGGGTACCTAAACTCCTCTATCATTTACTACAGGGGGTAGGTCAACATTTATTGTGACTACCACTACTCTCTGATGCAAAAAGATTTTACAGATAGATGAAATTCAGTTGTCTGGAGGGTCAGAGCTTCAGACTCAATGGCTATGACTTTGGTGTTATCATACCTTCATCAGCAAGTGTAACTAATAAAGTCCAAAAAAATTGAGAAGACAGATTCACAATACCCAATCCTTCTGGGAGTTAAGGAAAAATAGTTGAATCCCTTGCCCTCAACGAAAAGGCAGCCTAGCATCACTTTGGACTCTGAGTATTAGAGACATAGATGACTCACCTGGGCATTCTACTTGGTCTTTTGTATCAGATAACTCACAGGGAGTATAATCTGCTAAAAAGTAAGCTGTGGCACACTCCATACTTTGAGGTAATACAAACCTAATGACCCGTTTGAGCTAAAAGTCTCCATGACTGATGATTTTGTGTGCTGGAGCTTTTGGAAAAGGGAGGCACCCTCCACTTGAAAGTATCCCTTTGGGCTATAGGATTGTTGACTTCCTGAAACAGCTACATTTGAAAAGCAACTCTTGCCCAGCTGGCATGGCTCAGTGGTTTAGCATTGACCTAGGATCCAGATCAAGGTTCGGTTCCCGGTCAGGGCATACGCTCAGGGTTGAGGGCTTGATCCCCAGTTGGGGGAGTGCAGGAGGCAGCCAATCAATGACGACTCTCTCATCATTGATGTTTCTATCTCTCTCTTCCTTTCCCTGAAATCAATAAAGATATATTAAAAAAAAGAAAAAGAAAAGCAACTCTTGGTTTACCTCCGGCCTCCTGTCAAAACCAAAGCCCTGACCAATGGAGGATTTGATATTCTTATTTTGGGATGGACCAACTCAAACTCATAACTAACTATTTGAGAAGTCTCATTTGTCAACTGGAAATGGTAATAGTTAAGCCACAGGCATGTTCATAAGAGATTTTCAAGTGTTTAAAGAAACACCTCTAATAGATCATACAGCCCTCAGAAGACTATGGAAATCTCTCTTAAACAAAGTTCCTCTTGGTTACCTAGGGAAGCTTTAGGGAGAGATTGATGACACATTATTTACATGCATCCTTAGGGCAGTTATCTCTACAATAAGAGTAATCCAATTAGAAAACGTTACAAAATTTGTCCCTGATTTTAGCTGAATTAATCAATGACACCACCTCATCCCTGGAAAGCACTCTGGTTAGCCTGTCACTGATCAGCATTGTTATTTATGGATGACAGAATTGCCCAAAACTTCATTCTTGTAGGCGAATGTAGAATATATGCAATAGCTAATAAATTCTGTTAGACCTGGATTAATCAGGCTAAGTGGAAAGGTCAATACAGAAACTTACAGAGAAAGTCATCTTGCTTTCTAAGGTAGACACTGAGGGCCAAGGGATTTATTTAGCCGGCTGGGTATAGGACCTTGCCAGTATGATTAAGGACAATATTGCAGGTAGCCTTATCCTGTTGCTTGAAGTCCTGTTAATATCATCCTTAATTAAATACTATATGAAACAAGTTGAGTGGATTTAGTCCCAATCTCTGTTGATTAGATCAATCATGCCTGTGAAAAATGTGGTATACTCATGGGAAAATGTGTCATTATAGCCCTTGAAACTGGGTCACGTTTTTGGATTTTGTACTATTTGCTGTCTGACAATGATAAGCCCTCTATCATAAAATCTAATCAATAATGGGGTGATAGTAAATGTTTTTGCACATCTTAATGTTTGCATTTTATTTGGCCCACATGTTTCTTAAACCTGGGTCAACTTTTACAAATGGGCACAAGGAGCCATGCGCAAGCCTACTGTTAGTGTATTGTTTGAAAGAGAAAAAAAGGTGGAGGCAACTTCATGTCCATTAGTATGACAATATGTAAATAAACAGTGGTATGTTCATAAAACAGAATCCTATTGCACAGTAAATGCATTGAATAGATAGAGATCAGCATGGATCTGATGAACATACTTTCAGATGAAAGTAAGAGAAAAATATGTCTAAAATGATACATGAATTTTAGAAATAGATTCTGTATGGATAGGGAAATAAGCATTAAAAATACACAAAGGTGTCAAAAGGATGTACTCTAACTTTAGAAGAGTGGTTACCTATGGGGAGGGAGGAAAAGAGATGGGATAAGGGAGGGGTGCAGAAGTCTTACAAGGTTTTATGTGTTAAAAAATATTAATGGAATGATGGCAAAGTGCTCATTTTTAAAATGTGAGCAAATGGTATTTAGGTATTTAAAGTCTGAGAAAATACTATTATTCCTCTACTTTCTCCTTTTTGAAATATTTTATAAGTACATATAAAAAAAGTTTATATAAAAATTTCAAAATGAATACAATGAGAAGAAAAGTTACCTGAAACTATAGTTGCCTCACTAGATGTTAATATAAACTGATTTTCCGTATATTTAGGCAAAAATTCAGAAGCTCCAATTGTAAGTAAAGATTCTGAAGCTTTAGTCAGAGCTAGGCATACAAACATTGGAGTCTTCATCAGAATCTGAAATAGAAATGTTACATATGGATTATTTTATTTTGTTAGCTAAAGAAGAGCAAATATCCCCACTCATATGTTAATAACCAATCCACCAAAATTTAATCTTTCCCAATGTAAACTGAAAAATATATATACATATATAAATCCAAACAGAAATTTACAATTCACCAATATACACATACTATGAAAGACATGCAGTGTTTGAACCACTGAGCCATTTTTATTTGTAATTTGATCTTCATACCACCTGTAATTTTTATTTATGGGTCTGGCAGAAAGATTAAGAAAAAATAGACATCATTAACCAGGTATTTAGAATTTCCCTTTAGTTTTTTTTTTTCCTTAGCAACTATAGACAAAGAAAAAATAAGCAGTACTAAAGGAAAATCACTAGGATTGCAGTCAAGATTCTATAATATTTTACTCCTGGGAATTCCACATACTGAAGAGTGGAGTCATTTAATTTCTGCATTTTATCCAATTAAAAAATAGGCAGAGTCAAAGCTGCAGAATATACATTCTCCTCAAGTGCACATGGGACATTCTCAAAGATAGACCACATGTTAACACACAAAACAAGTCTCTACAAGTTCAAGAAGATTTAAATAATATCAAGCATCTTCTTGGATATTTACATGTTGGAATACTATGCAGCTGTAAAAAATGATTCCCTCACCCTTTGAGACAGCATGGTGGGCCCTGGAGAGTATTATGCTAAGCAAAATAAGCCAGTCAGGAAAAGACAAGTATCACATGATCTTACTCATATGTGGAATCTAATAAACAAAATAAACCGATGAACAAATAGATCCAGAGTCATAGAAGCATGGAACAGACTGACGAATCTCAGAGGGAAGGCAGGGGTTAGGGCAGGATGGGGACAGAATAACCTAAGAACTTATATGCATATATAATCCATGGACACAGGCGATAGTGTGGTAAAGGCCTGGGGGGGTGCAGGGTGGAGGAGATCAATGGGGGGGAGGGGACAGTTGTAATACTTTCAACAATAAAGTATAAAAAAATAATTTAAAAATTTAAAAATGAGCAGAGGACCTAAACAGAAACATTTCCCATGGATTCATACAAATGACCAACAGATATATGAAAAGATACTCAACTTCACTAGCTATTAGGAAAATGCAAGTCAAAACTATAATGTGATACCACCTCACACCTGTTAGAATGGCTATTATCAACGAGACAAGTAATAACAAGTGTTGGCAAGGTTGTAGAGAAAAGGGAACCCTCATTTATTGCTGGTGGGAATGTAAACTGGTAGAATCACTATGGAAAACAGGATGGCAGTTCCTCAAAAAAATTAAGAATAGAGTTACCATATGACCCAGCAATCCTTCCTCTTGGCATCTACCCAAAAAACTTGAAAACATTTATTCTCAAAGATATATGCACCCCTATGTTCACTGCAGCACTATTCACAGGAGCCAAGACATGGAAACAATCAAAGGGTCCTTCGATAGATGACTGGATAAACAAGATGCGGTACAGGTGTACTATGGAATACTACTCAGCCATAAGAAAAGGTGAAATACTACCATTTGTGACAACATGAATGAACCTTGAGAAAATTATGCTAAGCAAAATAAGTCAGTCAGAAAAAGCTAAAAACCATATGATTTCACTCATACGTGGGATATAAAACTGACTCACAGACACAGACAACAGTGTGGTGGTTACCAGAGTGAAGTTGGGGGTAGGACAGTAAAGGGTAAAGGGGGCCAAATATATGGTGATGGAAGATGATTTGACTTTGGGTGGTGGGCACACAATGCAATATACAGATCATGTATCATAGAAATGTACACTTGAAACCTATATGTTCCTATTAACTAACATTACCCCAATAAATTTAATTTAAAAAAATAAAATAAATTCTGCATTTTAGTGTATTTTTTGAACTTATTCAGAAACCTTACTAGGAAGTATAGGGATGGTTTACTATTACCTATTATACTATTACACTATACAGAATAATTAACATGACTATAAATTACATTAAAATATTAACTTTCAAACTAATTTCTGCATTTCCTGTATATATATATATATGTATATTGGGAATATTTACTGGTGTTTTATGTTTGCATATTTTTAAAATTAACTTAAAATTTCTTTTTCCACCCCAAACACTATTTTAAAAATCTAACATATTCCGTATATGCATCTAATTTGTCTTCTGAATGCTACTTAACTTTACATAGTATAATTCCACCATATTTATCCACTCCCATAGGGTTAAATGCTTAGGCTGACTTCAACATCCTATTGTCACAAATGAAGTTACGTTAAACATCCCTGTGCATGAACCCTTAGGACCTAGGAGAAAGTGTTTGGAAGTATATACCCAAGAAGGAATTTTCTAGGGCACTGGAATTTGGTATACTTCATTCCATTATCTCCAGATTTTTTCTCCAGAATGTATCAGTTTACACTCCCACTATAATATAAGAGACTTACACTTTCTTTCTGTAGTAGTTTAATACTTTCCAAAATTCATCAGAGCAATATTTCTGGTTCCGCATCCCCTTCCAGATTTACCATTCCCTAAGCAAGGGGCACTGAACATGAAAAAGTTTTTATGACAGCCTCAACAAAGCAAGCACAGTCATGAAGTGGTGAACAGAAGAGAAAACAAATTGGATGTAGAATCATTGTTTAGAGGTTGGGTGTTTTTAGCTCCATTATGTCTGTATTGTATGACTTGTTTCTCACCTAAAGAAACAGTGTTCTCCATTTGATATTGAGATATTTTCAATAATATATGCTTTGAGAATATTTGTTACTTCTAGAGTTCTCATTCTAAGTCATTTAACATAATGAAAAGACATATAATGTTAATACCTGTATTTCAGCAGGGGGAAAAATAAACACAAAATAATATAAAAGAAATAGAAGAAGGGAAATACTTGGTATCAGTCTCTGACACTAGCCAAGTTCTTGGCAATGCTTCTTAGGCAAGCTGGGTCCTATTTTCCACTATCCATAAAATGAATAGGTTAATTAAGACTTCAAAAGTCCTACTCAGATTTAAGTTGAACACTTTATGGTTATTTTCTTAAATCCACTATTAGAAAATTGTACAAGTCAACTTAATTGGCTTGTTCATGTAAAATACTTTACCCAAATAGAAGCAGATAAATCTTTGCTACTAGTTTCAAATTCCTGATCTTTATACTTTCTGTCCAACAAATGAGGCTTTTTGTGTTTTCCAGATTTTATCCTTGCTGTACCTATATGTTAACAAGCAAAAGAATCTTATGACGTGTTAAAATAACTAAAATGCATGTATAAACACACACACACATCCTAATAAACTTAGTTTGTCTTGGAATGCCAAGTGAGCTATTTTTGAACAAGCTAAAGTCAATCTAATTAAGTAAAAGGTACATTTTTCTAACATTCCCATCCTATAGAACATTGTTATAATGAAATTTTCCATGTCTGCACTGTACAACAGCTTAGCTATTAAATACTTGAAATGTAGCTCCTATGAATAAGTAAATGGATTTCTAATTTAATTTAGTTTAAAATTTAAACAGCCACATATGCAAGGTACTACAATATTTGACAATACAGTCCTAAAATATACAAGAGTAGTCTTTAATGTTAATATTTTGTGCCAATGAAATGTACTACCATAAAGAGAATATTTGATTTCTCTGATGTTACATGTACTTGTTAGTGTTTTTAAAAGAATGTTGACAGTTATTTTATCTTACAACAATTCTATGAGGTAGTACATGTATTAAATAATGCTAGGTAAATGGATATAAATATGCTTCTTTCTTTAAGAAAATGTATTAACTCTAGATTTAAAGCATTTTTAAAAATAAATGACAAGAAGCAAAAATATGTACTAATGAAAGTCTGGTACATATATAAAATAGTATCTGGTCACATGAGGCTTCATTTGTTCAGATAATACTATCATATATCTCTGTATCTCTGTAACAGAGAGAAATGTAATTCAAGTATATTCTGAGAATGGGGAGTGAGGGTGGGATGAGGAGCCTACTGTCCTTTAACTTAATGAATTATATCATTATAGTCACCTTGTAAACTCTTTGTAAAGCATGACAATGGTATTAATGTAGACCATGCCAAAATTGAGACAAAAATAAAACGAATCCACCAAGTCTGGAACCAGCGTTCATTATCATCACTGACTCCAACACTTTAATAGAGAAAAGTGAAAGATTTCAAGTTTGTATATTTTATTAGAAACAAAACCATAATCTAACAGAGATAGAAAAAAGAGAGAGAGAAATGAAACATTTTCTGTTAATTTGTCCGTTTCTGTTAATTTGTCTGCTGAGAGTGAGTGAATGAGTCCTCCAATTCTGTAGTTCCCTTTTGTCCTGAAGGATGCCAAATTTTTCCCTTTCCTTCTTCTCCCCATCCACTCAGATGGTAAAGAGTAATTCTTTGATTTTTTTAAACTTTTTTCAATAGAAGCAATGCACTTGGAAGACTATCCCATTAAATCACAACTCTCCTTTAAAACCATCCTTTACCTTTAAATCATGCACCTAGCCCTTTAGCGAAAACCTCCCCTTTAAGTTGCACAATCAATCCTTTAAATCACAGTTATTATGAAATCTCTTTCTTATAGTCCCTTCTCTGAACTCTCAGACTCAAAGGAGTTACCCTTCTAGTGATGTTACTAATCATCCTTAGGAACCTTTGTTAACCATTGTCTTCTCTCTTCCCTGTCATTTTTCTTGCTTCACCTTTGTAAACCACAGCGCCTCACAATGGACAGAGTGGGATGGGAATGTGAAGGACCCTGTGGTGGGATTTTTTAATTTTTTCTTTTTAACTCCCTCTTATTTTACAATTTCAGCATTCTTTGTCTTTAATAATACTGAGGCTATGATTTTGTGGAGAATTTTCATAGCTGTGAAGTGATTTTGTATCATTTAGGGAGGAGATTCAGAGAAGTTGATTACTACACAGCTGCCATTGTCTTCAGTTTCACACACATTTAAGACCTCGTCCAACTATCCATTATGGGAAAATGCCCACATCCACAGGAAGGAGTTTGGGAGGTGCTGGTTTTTCACAGGTGGCTCTACTGCTAACACCTGATGAGTAGCTTGCTTACAGGCCTTTTCTCTCATAGCATGTGGAGAATATCAGTTTTAGTGACGGGCCAACTCCTTATCCCTTGCTACATTATTCAGGGATATCAATTCCAAAGTGCAATGACACTGGGTAGAAACCTTGATTTCCATTATCCAGTAGGTATATGCTATGCCTACAAAGTTTTGACTCCAGATTGCCACTAGGAGTACAAATTTCCTCACTGTTTATAATTTTCAGAATTTTCTTTTTTTCACTTTTGAACCCAGCTATATATTTTAAATATATGCATTATATTACACATGATATGATTATTACATTTGTGTAAATAATTGAGTACCTAAAAATTAAGGAAAATAAACTTAAAAAACTATAAAGTATAAGCAAAGAATTTAATACAGTAACATATATATGACAAACTTAAATCAATATTTCTTCCTACTATAAATAAATGATTAGTAAATGTAATAATACAAGAATTCCATGCACAACACTAACAAAATACATGAAATCAGTAGGAATAAGTTTAATAGGATATCTTCAATAAATAAAATCATAAAGCTTTAGTGAAGAACATAAAAGAAATGCAGAGAAAATAGAGCAATATGCCATATTCTTGCATGGAAAGATAACAATTATTCCCAATTTGACACATAAATTCAAATATTTCAAATCAAAATGCTTTGATTATAACCTGAGATTATCTGGAATTACTTTTGTAAAAACAGCCCCTCATTTTTAATGAATAGTAATGAGTAGGGACTTATTCATCCAAATAGCAAATTACCCAATAAAGCTGTAGTTATTAAATATAACCAGCTATACTTAGTAGTTATATTTAGTTAACTTAGTTATTTTATTTACTTAGATATTAAAACATTGTAGTATTGGTATTAAATAGAGAAATAGATCAGAAAATGGATTAGACAGACAAGAGAGAAGAAAAAAACTCACACATTGAAAAATTTAATTTATGATAAAGATGGTATTTAATATCAGTAAAAAATAAATTTTAAAAAATGAAATGATCCAAATGGCATTACTACAATAAGATATCCCTTTGAGAGAAAAATAGAATCTAGGCCCATGCCTCATATTATATGCAAAAATAAACTGAAATTGGAAGTTACATTTAAACATACAACCAAAACCAGGCAATAACAGAAAATTACAGGCAAATATTCCTGATGAACATAGATGCAGAAACCTCAGCAAAATATTAGCAGGCCTAATTAAACAAAACATTAAAAAGATCATACACCATGATAAAGTGGAACTTATTCCAAAATGCAAGAATGGTTCAACGTCCACAGTCAATCAACGTGACACACCATATTAACAAAATGAAAGATAAAAATCGCACAATCACATCAATTGATGCAGAAAAATAAAATAAAATGAAAACTACACAGCAAAGGAAACAATCAAGAGAGTGAAAAGGGAAACTGTGGAATGGAAGAAAATATTTGCAAATTATGTATCTGATAAGTGGCTAATATCCAGAATATATTTTTAAAACTCTTTAAATTCAACAACAAAATCTGATTTTAAAATGGGCAATAAAACCTTGATTAGACATTTCTCCAAAGAAAACATACAGATGGCCAACAAGTATATGAAAAGATGCACATCACTAATCATCAGGGAAATGAAATTAAAAACCACAATAAAATATCAATTTACACCTGTTAGGATGGCTGTTACAAAACAAACAAAGAAAACAAAAACCAAACAAACAAAAAACAGAAAATAGCAAGTGTTGGCAAAGATGCTGAGAAATTGGAAACTTTGTGCATTATTGGTGGGACTGTAAAATGGTGCAGTCACTCTGGATAACAGTATTGAAGTTCCTCAAAAAAAATCACATTTCTGTCCTGGCCAGTGTGGCTCAGTTGGTTGGAGTGCTGTCTGGTACACTGAAAGGTCTGGATTCGATCTGCGGTCAGGGCACATACCTAGGTTGCAGCAGGGTTGGTCCGATTGGGGCATGTTCCAGAGACAACCAATTGATGTTTCTTCTCTCTCTCTCTTCTCTCCCCCCGCCAATAAGCATATCCTCAGGTGAGGATTTAAAAAAGAAATCTAACTTCTAATTCTAAATTAAATTAAATCTGGAATCTAATTTCAAAAGGATTGAACAGAGAATATCAAAGAGATATTTGCACACTCATGTAAATTACAGAATTCACAACAGTCACAAGTTGAAAGTAAACTAAATGTCCATTGACAGAAGAATGGATAAAATATGGTATATACATACAACGGAATATTATTTAGCCTTTAAAAGAAGAAAATAGTGTCATATGCTACAATATGGATACAACTTAAGGACAGTATGCTAAGTGAAAATAAATCAGTCACAAAAAGACAAATATTGCACGATTCCATATATGAGGTATCTAAATTAGTCAAGCTCTTAGAAACAGAAAGTAGCATGGTGATTGCTAGGGGCTAGGGAGAAGGGAAAAAGGGAAGTTGTTGTGCACTGGATATACAGTTTCAGTTTAACAATATAAAAAAGTTCTACAGATCTGTTTCACTACAGCGTGCATATAGTTAACACTACTGTATACTTAAAAATGGTTAGGATGATAAACTGATGATTTTTACCACAATTTTTAAAAACACTATATGCAGAATTACTAGTAAGGTTGTCATTATAAATGGTGTTTTTCAAATTATATTTCAAGCAGTAATGGTAAAAATGTACATTTTAGATGTATTTACATATACGTACATGTGAATATCAGTTACATTTACACATATTTTTCTAAAAATATGGTTGTTAAAAATTAAATGTGTATATTTATAAGCTAGAGTGTCTATTGAATAAATATTTTATACAATATAGACAAAAAAGGAAAGAAAATAGCTTACCTATTATCAGAATTATTGTTCTCAAGGGACTTAATTAGGGGTGCTCCGATCGTATAACCCAGAGCATATCCAATTGTTACTGAAAATTCCATAAAGCCTATAAAATGAATACTGAATATCAAACTACTATATAAGCCAGCTTTGTCACAAGATAATAAAAGTTACGTCACTTCACTAAAATGGATTCCTTCTGAAAGCTTCATAGTATACTTTATTAGTCAGGGTTCTCCAGAGAAACAGAATAAATAAGGATTTTGTGTGTGTTAAGTGATTTCTGAACTATTTGTATTCACAGGCGACTATTCCCTGTGTTTTTTATTTTTATTTTTGTTGTTAAGAGTATTACAGATGTCCCCCATCTTCCCCTCCTTTGTTTACCCCCCTCCTGCCAGCTCCTGCCCCATCTTTTCTATTCAGTATCTCTGATCAAAAGTTATTTTTTTCCATTTTTTTTCTTTATTTTTTTATTGTTAACACTGTTACAAATAAGATATTTAGAGAGCAAGAGAGATTTTTAAGGAGTTGACTTATACAACTATGGAGCCTGGCAAAGTCCAAATTTGTATGACAGGTTGGCAGTTTGGAAATCCAGGTAAGAGTTAATGTTACAGCCATGAGTCTATAAATAAGTCTGAAATCCACAGGGCAGGGCAGGATAGGACAGCAGGCTGGAAAAACTCAGGCAGAGTTTCTATGTTGCAATTTGGAGAAAGACTTACTTCTTCTTTGGGAAACCTCAATCTTTATTCTAAACAGTTTCAACTGATTGGATATGGCTCACCCACATTATACAGGGTAATCTGCTTTACTCAGAGTCTACTGATTGTAAATGTTAGTCACATCTAAAAAATATCACAGAAACATCTAGACTGGTGTTTGACCAAACAACTGGTTGCCATAAGTAAGCCAAACTTACACATAAATTAACCATCATACATATTATCCAATGCATAGAATACAGAAACTCAGATAATTTAATTATATAATTCACTGTACTTTACTTAATCTATATATTAATGTAATATACATAAATATATTTATATTTAATATAAATTCAATATACCTTATTTCACTTTAATTTGTGGTACTAAAAAAGGATTATACTTTATAATGATACATTATCGTCACCTTTGCATCTTTCATCTAGCTGCCAGGGTGGCAATAAAGTTTCTCTCTGCAGTGCAGTGTGTTTTAATTGCTATTCAGTAGAACTAAAAGTAAAACAAACATATTTGTTTTCACCCTCAGTTAAGATTAATAAATCACTGCAAAATTTCTTTTCTGAAAGCAAACATGTATGAATATCATCTATTTTAGTTTATTGGCATGACTTTCCTTATCTCTGATGGAAAAATAATTTTGATGCAAAATGCTCTTTTCTTTTAAGTCACCTTCATAGTAAGTATAGAAAAACAAATTTAATTTCCCCCCCAAAATGATAGTTAAATAACCCTGTACAAATAGGTGATCTACAAGGACTAGAACCTATTGCAACATAAGGAAGTACAGATGATTCTGAGATGTACCCCAGGATTACTTACTGCAAGATACATCAGCATAAAACACTGTAAAATGAGGATACTACACTGTGGTCAATTAAATAGCATACCACTTCTCTCCCTGAAAGGTTGTGAGAATGTTTTCACTAACTTCAAAATATCAGAGCCCCACAAAAAGACTGAGTGCATGTGTATAAAGAACGTAATACAAGATAACTATTTTAGTACCACACTGAATCTAGTACTGAAGAGGCATAAAACAAAGTTTCTATTCCCTTATGGACATGATGGCAGCAACTTCCCACACACATTCCCAAAGTTTAAACATACAACTACTCAAGAAATTCAATCTGGCAATTTTGAGATTTTTTTCCTAGGGAAATGAACTGCAGCCTATATAATTTGATATGACATATATACTGTGTATACATATACACATACACAAGAGTATTTACATATACACATGAGTACATATATACATCTATATATACATAAGAGTATTTTTCCTATTGCTCTGTATCTTTTAGGGTGGCCTTCAGATGACTTGTCTACAATTCCAAAACTCAAGCAGCTCTTCAGAATTAAGTGGCTCAATGTGATTTTGAAGTTAGGCTACCAGTTTCCATTTATTACAATGTCATTACAATAGCTAATAATTAGCACTTGTATATCAGTTTAGATACGCACACCAAAATACAGAATCTCAACAAAAATTCCAGAATGGGTAAATCATATTAGAGGCAAAAAAACTTACCTAGATAAATACCAGTTGACTGTGTGGCAAGGTTGTCATCTAGAAAGATTACTCCAAGGGTATAAAGAGGCATTCCTGCTATTCCCTGCACAGACTGCCCAAGGATGAAGAAAGGTACATATTTTGATTGGAATGATAAGGATTTCTTGCAAGTTTTGACAATCTTCATTTCTTTGCAAATATCTTTTGAAAAGATCATTAAATTTTTTGTTAAATGAGCCAAAACTTAACAAATATACAGTATCTTTTATGAAATATTTTACCTTTTACAAGCTATTCCCACCATTATACTCTTAGTTAAGATTTCATTTACACTGAACATAGTAGTTCTACAATCAATCATCGTGTTCTCAGAAAAATGCAATAAAAGAAAGTTTGTGGGAATACTGAAAAAGATGCAAATATTATAAACCAAATATAAATGTGTATGTATGACTATATGTATATATACACACTTGTTTGCATAGGTAAAAATACATATCATAAATTTGGCATCCGGTAACTCTGTCTTTGACCCACGATAAAAGTATTTCTAATGTTTTAGATTACCTGAATTATTAGAGATCACCTTCTGAGCTTAGTTCTATATCCACTTCTTCAGCAATCTTCACATTAACTTTGTGTCACTCTGATTAAATAATTTCCCATTTTATACCCACCAACTTCTAGAATATAGGTTCATAAGGACAAGGCATTATACCAGCAATTTTCAACTGGTGTGCGGCAAGAGGCACACTGGTGAGCCATAAGAATATTTAAAACATGCAATACCTGACTATTTAGTCAGGGGCACTGACCTCTTTTCCCCTAGATTGTCAAATAAAAAAACAACAACAGTCAACACAATAGCTGTCCAGTATGAATGAATCAAAATTATACCTATTTTTTGTTAGATCAGCAAAAAATATATTTTTGGAGTGCCACAGAATTTTAGTAATTAGTTTATGTGTGCCATGAAATGAAAAAGGCTGAAAATCAATATATTATACAATAAACTTTTTGTATAATACTAACTTTTTGTTAGTCATTATATAATAATCTTTTTAAATTTCTTTAGGGGACAGTCTATTTCTTAAGCTTTTTTTATTCACACAATTGTAAAACAATAGCAAATGAATGTTTGTTGGACTTGCATTTGTAATTAGCTTGGTAGACCCAAACAATGCTATTAGATCATTCTGGTCATGTACTTTTTATTGGAATTTAACAAATGCTCTGAAAATATTATTGTGAAAAACTGGTTAATGTGTAGATTGCAAAATAGTACACTAATGGCAAATTTCAGCTGGTTCTGTATTCATATGGAAAATTTGATTCCATGTTAAATAGAAGGTCTCTAGAATTGTGATTCAAACTACTGATGATTCAATTTTATATAGACATATCAGTATTAATGTGATATTTCCAACACTCTGGCCTCTTAGTTCCTTGAACTGCTTTCTTCACAGGTACTTGTACTCCACTTACCTTAGCTACTCAATTTAAACTTTCAAAAACAATGAAATACAAACCTTCTTTCATTGCAATTTCAAGCATCTTACAAATATCTTTACCTTTCTGCCTCACTCTAGTAACCCAATTCCAACAAACCCTAAAACCCACCAGAACCTATATATCCATTGAGCCTGCTCCTTTTCGCTATCCCAATGTCCACTTTATATCCTTACTTCTCTCATTGTCATCGTAACACTTTTAAATCCCTTGCTTTCTTTTATATCACGCAATCCCTCAATAAAATTGCAACCCTAGTCAATTAAATACATTTCCTTACTCTACACCTACAACTTTAAAGCTGAAGGTGGCCACAGAAAAACACACAACCATGCAAATCTCACTTTGAATTCATGATTATTAAACTCAAGGAGGTCCTTCACCCTCCTGATAAAATATGTCCCTAGTCTCCTACTCTTCTTGCCTTCTCCTAGAAAATCACCGTGTTTGTTTTCTTTTTCCTAGGGATCATGGGCCTGATATTCCTGCTGTTCAATATATGAAAACAATTGTTTTCCATCAATAGGATAAAACTAATATTTTGGCACCCTTCTTCATTTTAAAAAATCCTTTGTTTGGACTATAATTTCAAGAAGAAGGGAACAGTCAGTACTACAATCACTAGTGATAATTCAAGAACTATAACAAGTAAAAAGGTTTAATTATATTAAATAACATGAATTATGTTGATGGCTTGGTGAAAATAATTTCATGGCAGCGTTTAAGGTGAAAGCCATGTTAAAGTGGACTGAAAAACGAATATGAGATAAAGTCAGAAAGCATGGACATGTCTTTCAAAAATAACTTGTCAATGAAGCCCTGACCAGTGTAGCTCAGTTGGTTGGGCATGGTCATGTGCACCAAAAGATTGCTGGTTTGATTTTCCAATCAAGGTGCTTGTCTGGGTTACTGGCTCAGTCCCCATTGGGGGATGTGAAGGAGGCAGCTGAGAGATGTTTCGCTCTCACATCAATGTTTTTTCTCTCTTCCCCTCTCTCTAAAAATTAATTAAAATATTTTTTAAATGTGTCAATGAAAATGAGGAGGTTTTGCAAAGTGATTGAAAGAGGGCTGTAAATTATACCTATGGTTGTTTTTGTTTTTTTAAGAATAGGAATTACTTGAGCACATTTAGATACCAATGAGTAGGACCAAAAAAGAAGAAGAATTTGTAGAAGGGGGGAGGAGATCACCATTGGAATTAAGTTCCCAAGTAGACAAGAGAGAACAAGATGTTTAGCAGGAGGAGAGCTCTTCCATTTTAACAGGAAGGAAGAAGTAAAGAATGTGAACATGAAAATATGGGTGAAATTATGCTTCCTATGGTAAGAAATTAAGGCAATTTTCTCTTACAGCATGTTTTTTCTATCCAAAACAGAAGATAAGTGAGTATTTGTATCCCCTAAAAAAATTCATATGCTGAAACCCAAATTCCCAATGTAATTGATATTTGAAGATGGGGCCTTTGGGAGGTAATTAAGTCATGAAAGTAGAGTCCTCATGAATGGGATTAGTTTCTTTATAACAAGAGACACTAGAGAGCTTGCTCTCTCTTTTTCTCTCTGCTCTACAGCAATATGAGGACATAACCAAGAAGAGGGTCCTTATCGGGAACTAAATTGGCTGGCACCTGGATCTTGATCTCCCAGCCTACAGAGCTGTGAGAAATAAATTTATATTGTTTAAGCCACTCAATCTATAATATTTTTGTTATAGCATCTCAAACTAAAACAAGAAGAAAGTCTAAAGTCCTTGTTGTGAATTATGGAAGAGAGTAGACTGGGGAAAAAAAAAAAAAAGAAGTATCAGGGGAAAAGATCCATTTAAAGAGCATAACTGAGGTTGACAGTAACAAATTAACTGTGGGACTAATCTTGTGTGATTTTTCTCTAAAACACTCATCATCAGCCCAGGAAAGATATATAGTTGGATCAAAAATTTTCTGGCCAGGAACAAAAAAGGGCAATAGGACAGGGATCTTAGAATTATGATTAGAGCAAGTTTGAAATACTCTAATATTTCATATTAAGGAACATAAAATAAACTACAAATGAAAGAAAGTGATAAAAGGAGTCTGATAAAGGAAGAAAATACATGTCAGTACACTGAAGTTTCCAACAGAAGAACTGCTGTTTTTAATTATATGAGTATTCAAGTAGGAAGAATTAGTGGGTATAAACAGAGAGTGGAATAATAGATATTTAGGGAGTTCTCAGTAAAGTGACAGCTCACGGCAACCATGGGTATGCTGGGTGATCAATCAAATGTAAAGATCTAGAAACTAAAGATCAGAGTGTGATACAAATGTTTTCACAAACTAGTGGAGAAAATTCAGTTTTAACTGCTAACGGATTTGGTGGAGTATAGTTATCTACTTGCTGGCTGAGGCATAGGGCCTGAAGATCAACTTGTCATGAGTATGGAAAAATGTGATGGGATGGAGGAAGCAGAGAAAGGGAGTGGAAGGTGGTGGTAAATAGACTGTTCCAAAGAGAACATAGAAATTTTACACACACACACACACACACACACACACACACACACACAAACTGAGGTATGAACATAGAGTAGAAAATGGGTTTTGTAAGAGATAAACATATAAACAAAGTAAGTAATACATCTATATAGATAAGTGTATGAAATGAGCACTTTACTGCAAAGACTGTTTACTTTATTCTGCTTCTCTAATATAAGCGGAGGGTCAACACTAAATAGGCGTTGTTAGGTGAACTGCATGTTCCTAATCACAAGCTGAAAATAAAATATGTAGAATAAAGATGATATAAAGAAGACACAAAGAGCCAGGCAAAGAAAGACAAACATCACATCATCTCGCTTATATGTGGAATCTAAAGAACTTAATAAACGGATGAACAGAATAGATTCAACGACATGGAAGCACAGATCAGACTGACTTGAATCTCTGAGGGATGGAGGAGGGCGGGTGGGTGGAGGGGGAGAGATTAAACAAAAAATTTATATGCATATATGCACAACCCAACGAAGACAAGGACAATGGTGGGGAGAGGGACTGGGGAGGGGGATGGGAAGGGGTGGAATGAGTCATTGGGGAGAAAAAGGGACATCTATAATATTTTAAACAAACAAACAAACAAAAAATAATAATAATAATAATAAAAAGAAAAGAAAATGTTGGTTTTGTCCATTAATTATTATACATATAAATGCTAGTATTTTTACTGTAACAATATGCTCTGCACAGTACTTTTGAAAATAATAAAACTGGTTTTTTTTAGAGAGAAAAAAAGAAGACACAAAGGAAGAAAGATTGTACTATTTCTACTCCCATGACTCCTATTAAGTGCTAATCAAGTAGTATTGTAAATATGTCTCAACAGTGCTTCCCAACTTCTCACCCTCTCTGACCAGGACAGGGCAAAGGGAAGGATAGGAACGATATGTTTTTCGTTTTCATGTGTTTTTCCCTTCTTTCCATAATCCGTCTTCTAGTTCAATTAGCTGTCCACTCTACAAATATAATAAGTATATTATATGTATATTCTACAAATTAATAAATATATTTATTTGAAATATTTATATTCTACAAATATTAGCAATATAAGTATACGTGCATAGTATATAGTTGATATATTGATATGATGCATATCAGTATATTATTTAACATACGAACTTTATAGTATGTCTATTAATTATATTAATATATTATGTAATTTATTGTATTTAATATGAATTCTTTTTATTTATATTGTAAATATATATTATAAACATACATTTTTAAAACATCATAAACTCATATATACACATACACACATACACAAAGAGACATCCTCACGCCTTTTTCCATCATGTCTAGAGACATCCTCACGCCTTTTTCCATCCCAGTTTAAAGTTCCCAAAATGGGTGAATGCATTCCAACACTTTTATAAGCCTATTCACAAGAAAGTTATGAATAGCGTCAGAAATAGTGCTATGAAACTTCAAGTAGTCTTTATCTACTGGGAGTAGCAAAAAGATTGTGGAATAAATTTTAGAAAATGAAGAAAGCAAAGAAGCCACCGATCGTTTTAGATTCAAAATCCTATGCCAAAGAGCAGCTCCCATTTTGAAGTAGTAGGAATAGCTAGAAAATGTCTGACATTTCTTTTTTTGCATAAGTTTTTTATGTTTGTATTTGTGTGCATGTGCTTTGAAGTAAAAATAAATGGATTAATTAAAGCATATTGTGGAAGGAATTACTAAAGTTTTCAAGAAACATATAAAAATTGATAAAAGAAAAACAATTTCACAAAATAATTATCACAAGATATTCTTTCTTCTTCCTAGGTCCATCTCTTATATGAAAGGATAAATGATCATGAGATGAGAGAATGAACATATATTACTAGGTAGCTACAATTAATTAGCTTAATAAACTTGATCATATAAATAGATACAGATGAACAGACAAGTATCACAGTTTATTTTAAGTTCCTAGAGGCAATGATTTAAATTAATAATGATTTGATATATGACAGTATCATTTAAATCTTACCTTCAGTATCTATGTTCAATTGATAATTTTCACCACTGAAGTATGGATAAGCAAATAAAAGTGATCCTAATCCTATTAAAAGGGAGGAAAACATAATCCATCTTAGAACATTTCCTCTCCCTCCATAGTATGATATAAACACTACTACCAGGCAAGATGAAATATCGTAACTTGATGACACCACCACTGTCTCAATGGTTCTCAGGCGATTGCCCTTCTGAAACATGTCAATGCTCAGATCTACAAGACCAAACACAATACCTAAAACATAAAAGAAAAAAGAAAGCAATAATATGCATTTTAAGAGACAAAACAAGCCACCATTGTAATCATTACAAAGCAAAACTTAATTTACAGTGATTTAAGTTTATTTCATCTTATTCTGAATGTTTAAGATTTATAAGCGCATTCCTGTTCTAAAACATTAATAGGCTTTAATCTCTGTGAAATATTTGCCAATGGAATTATTGTAGTGATTTTTAAATACTATATTCATGTGTAATTTGCTGAAGAATATGATTTTTAATCATCTCAGTACTATTTCTTACTCAGTACTGAGTAATATTTATTTTGATGTACTATATTTCAATTCTAAAATGAATAAATAACAATATAATATCTAACATCCAGAACAGAAAATAAAACATTATCAAAATAGTTGGTCCAACATGTACTCCCCAAACGCATTATTCTTTCTCCTTCCATAACCAGTATCCTATACTTGAAGTTGACCATTTCCTAGCCTTCTCAACACTTTTTTTGACAATGTGTATACATCCTTGAACAATACAGAGTATTGTTTGTCATGTTCTTGAACATTAAATAAATGGTATCATATGTGCCCCTCCCCATCACTCAGCACCCAACTGGGGAAAAAATAATCACACTAAAGGTTTGAAACAAAAAGAAACGGCCACAGAGGTTGTTACAAACTAACACATTTGTTGGATTGGAAAGAGAAAATAGTTACTAATAAAAATTCATGGAATCTACGCTACCAAAGTTGCTGGAGCATAGGCAGCTGCAGGGGGCTGCAACCGCTACCGCTGCTGCTGCCTTTAGACCTGCACTCACCACCTCTTTCGCAGGAAGCCAGTACCAATACTTCTGCTAATGCTGAAAGCTAGCTGACAATCTCCCAGCTGCCAGACCAGAACCTATGAGAACTGTGCTGCTGAAGCACCACTGTTGCTGCTGCTGGAGCTGCACTGATAACTGATCATAAATCCTGGAGCCTTCACAACCCCAGGATTGCTGCTGCTGCCAAAAATATCATCAGAAACACGGAAAAGAAAACAAAAAATGGGCTTCCCTTTGTTCCTTTTTCAAATCTACCGCCACAGCTTCTTACTGGTAACACATAGGTGAAGCCAGCTGACAAGGAAATCTGGGAAAAGTAGTTTACAGGCTGCCAGTCTCCTTACAAACAGGAATGGATCCAGAAAAGGAACAATCGAGTTTATGCCCAACAAACAACTTGCAAAGTTCACCCTTTAGATTGCTCATGATACATTTTCACCCTTTCCCCACATTTAAACTCCCATACCAAATTAATAGGAACATCATCATGCTTCTTCCTATCATGTTTCAATTATTCTTACAAAGACTTTCTTACTCTTTCCCAAAAAAGGGAGACACATCGAAGACACATAGTCCAACCAGCCACCATATCCATATCAAGGTAGCGTTAATCCTTCTTCTAGTTTAATCGCAAACATGAATGGGTTTTCTTTAACATAAAACTAAATTGCAAAGGTATAAATGGTATAAAAAGGTATAAAAGATATAATTAAGCAATTTAGGCCTATGATAAACAAAACATATCATAGGCCTAACTAAAGTTGTGAGGGAGTTGTATTGCAAGAGACACCATAAATCTGACTTAGAACCACAATTTAACAGACTGAGAGCAGCAAGAAACAACATATAAAAACTTTGCTGCATCAAAGAGAAGAATTTTTTTCAACCCTCATTTTACATGTGGCCCAGAAGGATAATGGCCAAGGTAATAAAAGTCCTGTCAATAAGTGTCCATCTCTGGGGCTGGGGTATTAATTCCCCTTCTAATTCAGAAATATTCTGCAACCTAGAGGTGACGTTGTAAAGTTATCATCCACAATACTCTTTTATAAAATAGTGAGGGAAAGAGAATGCAAAAAAATAAAAAATTTGAAAACACACACACAAATTACACATGAAAGAAACAAGAAAGAGAAAAATGCATAGTTGCTACAGTTTTTATTTCTCTAAATGGTTATGAGGCACAGTTGACATTAATAAACTCCTTTCCTATTCACTTCCTTTTCTACCTCTCAATCTCATATAACATATATAGGTTATTTCAAAGCAGACATTTTACCCTGTAGGACAGCACCCCAAACTTTTTGATTGCTGTCTCCTTGCTGGAGCCCTATCTGCGTCTTCAGTAGGACATTATAATTATCTATAAAGCTAAGAGTTTCTGGTTATTGACATATGTAGTAAGATCAGTGAATTCTATGAACATGGATTCTCTATACTTCTTTTGCTATAAAATTAATTCCTTCATTAAAAGCAATAAATAAGATGATCATGATGGTGTATAAGGCATTCATTAAGTCCAAGTATAGTTGTTTTGGAAGAACCATGGTGATAAAAGAACCCATATGCAAAACAAGTATCTATTTCAGTGAGAAGAAATTATTGCCCACTCCATAATAGAAGGAGATGATGTAATCAACTTGCCTCCAGGTAGCTGGTTGATTTCACTAAGAAATGGAGCCATTTCCTGGATTGTACTGACTCTTCCTGGGTGGCAAGACACTCACTCAGTAGTGCAATAAGCCGATCAGTTCTTGTGAAGATAAATCCATGCGTTCAGCTCTTGTATAACCTCTATCCTTGATGCAATTGACAATATAAACATGAACCCACTGAACAAGACATACAGTGGCTGGGAAAAGAGGCTGGCTAATATTCACAGGGTGGTTATTTATCTACCTCACTATTGAGAGCTTCCTCTGCAATGGATTACTTTGATGAATATTTGCACAGGATAACTGTCCATTAAGATACACATACCACTTACCCAGCCCTCCTAGTCACCAAACGGTCAACCTATTAGCCAATGGGAGCATGGTATCTAGGAAATACAATCAAATTTTACTGCCTAACATTCTGCCCATTGGGAGGATTTCTTTCCTCTGTTTTTCAGGGACTCCCCTAAGTGGGAGTCGCTGAAATGGTATAATGGTATACCATTACGGTATAATGTTACCATAGCATACTTCCACCTTCAAAAACCACAGGCACATAAGATTATGTTTCTTTCTTAGTAGTAAGTGGTATAAATGAAGAAATTTTTCCTTCATTTTATTTTATTTTTAAAATTTTTTAAAAAAACATATCTTTATTGATTTCAGAGAGAGAAAGGGAGAGGGATAGAGAGATAGAAACATCAATGATAAGTCACTGATCGCCTGCCTCCTGCAGGCCTCCGACTGGGATCGAGCCTGCAACCCGGGCATGTGCCCTGACCAGGAATCAAACCCCGATCGCTTAGATCCTAGGTCGACACTCAACCGCTGAGCCACACCCGGTTGGGCTTTCCTTCATTTTAGAAGAGGTAGCCCTGCACACTCCAAAACAATTTGCCTGAAGTGGCAAGCAAATTTTTAGTGTATAAGAAATTATCTCCCGGGGCAGACTTTATGTTAATCATTCTGGGAAGCCTGGGATCTCATTCTAGTTATGAGTCTGGCAGCCATAAAGGGGGAGGGAGGGTTATGAGGGCAATCAGCATTCCCTTAAGTAGGGTGAGGAAAATTCAGTGTCTTCAAGCAGGGAATTGCTTTTTCTCAGCCATAGGAGGAAAAGTTGCTCCTACTGGGAAAGGAAATTTGGGATTTCAGGGTTGATGGTTCTCAGATTTACTGAATTCCACCCAATTCTCATGGTCCACTCTTCTCCAATCAATGCCCCAACTCTCACATAAGTGATTTAGTGAATCTGTGAAATCAATTTGTGTTATAATTCTACAACCATGAATTAGGGTTGGTACTATTCAAAATATGCAGTATGTCACTAAAAGTGATAAGATTCTCTTACAACCATCAGAGAAGCTCACACATTTTCTAATTATGCCCTAAACTCAGTTTCTTTCTGTAAACTTTCCAGTGCAGTCAGAAGCAGTCAGTCAACCCCAGAATCTCTGTAGTCTGAAGTTCCACCGCAGATGTCAATTGCAGAAGCTGTTGGTCTTCCAAAGCCTTGCCTTCAATAAGAAATTTATCTCAGGCAACATTTTAAATAACTCTTTTTGTCACTACATGCCATGGACTTCCAGTGTACCATTTTCCACAGTCAAGGATACTGTTGTTTTTGTTGCTTTCAAGTCCAATTAGTCATATAATGAATTGCAGATTCCCATCTTTGAGGGATGGTTTATTTTTTCCTGGTTCAACGTTGGGTATAAAGTACTGTTAGAGAAGGCAGCTAGGTAGACGTGAGGCTGGGAGAGGTAGCTGGGGCATAGAGGGAGTATGTGTGAGAGATGACAAACCAAAAAAAATGGAGGCAGCAGACCCCTATGTGAGGAGCAAGGATTTAGACCTCCTCCAGGATGTGATCTAACCGGTGGCCTAATGCCTGGGTGAAGGAGTCTTTTAGTTTGAAGATGTATTTTTCTGAGACGTGAGGGAGAGGATGACTTGCTCCTTGCCTAAGGGTCTTCAAGCCTAGGGGTATAAATCCTCTGAACTTCCAAATATTGGGGTACTTGGTTTGGTTTCAGCCAACAGAGTCGCCCACTCCGGTTCTGAGTGTATTTTTTTCCGACAAATAAATCCTCATCTGTTTTTGCTGCTATTTGTGGTCTCTTGTTTGAATTCATTCCTACAAGCAAGACAACAACTGGGGGTGCAGAGTACTGTCTCTGGTCAGGGGCTATCTCTTGCCAGAGACCCTCTTGACCACTGCCAACAGTACTATGTCAAAAATTATATGATTTTAATGCTTTATAGACAAATTAGTTTTATTACCTTGGTGATGCTAAAAGTTCAGTCAAAATCTTTTCAAACATCTTTATATTTATATTTCATAACATTTTAAAAAGGAATGTTATTTTTGATTCATTCTTTAACCAATTTCTTAGCCCTACTTATCTCTAATAAAATGTTATTAATATTTTTCTGAATATATATTTTAATATGATCTGATTTCTAACTGTTCTCATTAAATTAGTTGTAATTCTTTAAAGTTTCTTTTTATAGCTTTGCAGCAAA